ACATGATTGTATTTATATAAGCACATTAATCTTTTTAATAATATAGTTTAGCAATAAAGACACTATATTTCTGATTTATTTTATTCTTCCTAACATAAAGATTAAAAGCATTTAAATGAAACTAATATTTCACATAAAAATAAAATATCAGCTCAAATAAAAAATAATATATTAGTATAGTTTAGTGTATTACAATTCAACTAGAGAGACTACATGGCATAATATAATTTATAAAAAAAAATGTTTATACTTATCAATGCGAGGATTTAACATTTTGTAATAATTATTTGAGATATTAATATATCTTACTATAGAGGAAGTCTTACTAGCTTATTCTATATGATTTTAGTTTAAAATAAATGAATGGAGGTAACAATATAGTAATAAGTTGTTGTGATAGAAAATAAGTTTTAGATTCAAGAAGAAAAACTTATGTTTGGAGGATTTTTTTAAGGTTTTAATTATATTATATTTTAGTTATTTTTTATGAATTATATTAATGAAAGTTATAGTCTCTTGATTTAAATTGTATACTAAAATATATTAATATTTTTTTATTTGAGCTAATATTTTATTTTTATGTGGAATATTAGTTTCATTTAAATATTTTTAATCTTTATATTAGGAAGAATAAAATAAATCAATAAAATAGTGTCTTAATTATTTTATATTTTAGTTTTTTTTATGAATTTTATTAATGCAAGTTATAGTCTCTTGAGTGAAATTTTAATATACTAAAATATATTAATATTTTTTTATTTGAGCTAATATTTTATTTTTATGTGGAATATTAGTTTCATTTAAATGTTTTTAATATTTATGTTAGGAAGAATAAAATAAATCAGAAAAATAGTGTCTTTATTGCTAAATTATATTATTAAAAAAAGTCAACATACTTATATAAATACAATCATGGGTTACAATTATACAAAGAATAATTTTTACAGTAGAGTTTGAAAATAAATAAATATTTTTTAAAAACTCCTATAATAGACTTTTATGGTCATTAAAAGTAGTAAAGAAAAATAGAACAAGATAGAGAAAAATAAAATAAAAAAGTAAAAAAAGACTATTTTATTATTTTTATATATTTTAGGGGTCAGTTTTAAAATTTTTAAAAATTATTGGGGTGTTTTGCAATTAAATTTATTATTTTATTAAAAAACTTAACGGAGATCCATTAATTTAGACGGAAAATGGGCCGACTGGACGAAATTCGTAAAAATTTCAAAAATTAGGGTAAATTTGGCTAACCGAAAATCTATTAAATATAATTGATGACGAGGGCAAAGATTTGGGTAGAAACGGTATTTTTTCCTCCTTAAGTTAGTCCTTTGAATATGCTTGGACTGCTATTTAGTAACTTTAGTGGACAATGATATAAAACTGCGTGGACTCGAAATAATTGGTATGTATTAAGAATCCGAAATTTTGTAACCAAATTCAAAGGGTAGATAGAATAATGAAAGGATGAGAAATAATAGAAATGCAGACAAGAACATACAAGATTCTTCATCAATTTAACGATGATCAATATAATAGCATCTGGCTGCTATGTAACCCTAATAAATTAGTATTATAAAATTTACAATCTGCAGATTTATGTTTGGTTGGTTTTTTAGTGTATCTTTTCTAAAAAATTTATTAATAATTGTTTCATTCTAACATATCTTTTAACATTTTCAATGTAAAATATAAACCATTCACGCAGTTAACTTTATTATTGTAAGTGAATTATTGTATAGGCCATATTAGTTGGGCTAGGAGGGAACAATGAGGATCGAGTTGATATTTTTTATGCATTTGGGCCTAAACAAAATTTGGAAGCCCAATAAAAAGGTAAAGTGTTTGATGGTTGCTGGTTAAAATCTCTGTGAGTAGTTTGAGACTTTGAGTAGTTTTATCTTCTTTTTGGTTAATCAAAAGATTAGGGGGCTGATAAAGCCTCAGCACGTAACTCTTTTTTTGGTATATATTATGCACATGATGTCTGAAGTAATTGCTCCGACTAATCCAAATTCGAGTCGGATAAGTCCTTTTCGTGAAGCAAAACTCTCTCAACAAGTATGTTAATCACTGATGCATGTCTACACCCGTGTTCGAATTTGAGACATAGTTAAACTATCTCAATACCTTTACCACTTGAACTAAGTGCTCGTAACTCTAACAACATAGAAATAAAGCTAGGGGCAATATCAAAAAATTATAGTCCTCTGTCTACTTGAAAGTGCATTCTTAACTAATGCATCTGCACAATTAGTTATTGCTTCGGAACTTCTCAGTGCCTACAACAAAAAATCCCTTGATGAGGTTCACAATATACAACTTTGATTAGTTTTTATTTTTCCCCTTTTTTGAAATGAACTTTGAGTATTTATAATTAATATAAAATGGAGTTTTGGACCATTTCTTCTCTTCTTCTCCAGGGTCTTACCAAATCGGAAGTCATACTAGAAAGAGTACAAGAAAGATCGATAAACCAATCCATTTATTAGATGATTAATTTATCGTTGGTCAAATATGACATACTCTCAACCAAAACTAGATTAACTCTATAATTTATTATATCAAGTGCGACTTATATCTTTTAACAACTCTCTTATTTAGATTTAGTTAGGCAATGTGGCTGTCAAGTCGACCATTAGAAATGGCTGGTACAATCAACTTTCCTAAAATGTAATAAAAAGATGCTAAAATCAAATTCGATTGTGGCCATCTAGGTGATCATGATGCAAATAAAACTCCAATCATTTAAGGTCTCGAATCACCTGAAAAGGTTACATTTACTGAATCTCTCGCATCAAAAAACGAACCACAAGAAAGAGCAAAAGGATCAACATATACGTACATATCTTATTTAATCCAGATGGTTTTAATTTTAATTGTTTAAGGGGTAGTTTGATCTGCAGCATCAACAAGAACAGGATACTTTTGAGCATTTTTGTGTATTTTGGTGAGAGCTGCTTGGCCAAGGTCTAAGCCACAAGCATCAGCCAGTTGAATCAAGTAGAGCAAAACATCTGATAATTCCTCCTCCAAATGTTCCTTCTCACTAGGGTTCCAGTTTGGTAGTCCTTTTGCAACTTCTCCTTTCCATTGAAACACCTCTGAAAGTTCTCCCACTTCCCCAACCTACACAGTTTTATTACCAAAATTTGCATAAGGTTATAAGACGTAAATAAATTTCAACTGGATTTTATAGAACGTAAACAACTAAAAAAAGTACTTCCTCTGTCCCCAAAAAAATAGTTCACATTAAATTTTTAAATTTGTATTAAAAATAGTAAAAAACTCAAAATTCAATGTGGATTATTTTTTTTGGGACGGAGGGAGGGAGTAGTAATTAGATGGCTAATTAATTTGTATGTGTAAGACTAACCAAGGCAAGAAGTAGATTTCTTGGACTATGGTATTTCTCCCAGCCTCTAACTTTGGCGAACTCAGCAAGCCTGTCTCTAAGTTCTTCAAGTGAAACTTCACCTTTACCTTTCTTGGAAAAACCATTAGAAATCTCCATCTTTTAATTCCCTTTTCTTTTTTTGATTTGTATGCATCCTTCTTTACATTTTGTTTACCTATTTATAGGCCAAAAGAAGCAAGGAAAAAGCCTACACTTTTGTGAAATGACCATTTCCATTTAAAGTTTATCCTTTCTTTTTTTTTTTTGTTTATTTTCCTTTTAGAAATCAAATGCGTGCTCTGACATTGATCCATGACTTGATACCACCTAAATCCCAATTTTTTCATAGAACGACACAAAAACCCATTCCGTCCTATTTTAATATTCCCCTGTCCCATAATTATTGTCCAATTTGAGTTTTCATTTCTAGTTCAAATTGTATTAAAAGTAGAATCTCAAACTGGACAATAATTTTGAGACAGAGATAATAATTTATTTTTGATAAACTATAATAATAAAAAAAAGTAAAATTGTTACACTGAAAAAAGTCTACGAGTTCCTTCGTCACTAGGAACTAACATGCTCTATGGGTATGCTGCAACCGGTCGACAGATTTGGGATCACTCTCAAAACTCACCCAGCATTGTTGGCCATTCAAATATGTTCATCATCATAGGATCCTTGACGGAGTGTTTCTTTTCCGTACCATGTGGCAGTCAAGATTCCTAATTACTCTTTTAATCTTGAAATGATTGTTTAGTTTGAATTTTATTACTAATTAAAATTATATTAAAAATAAAAAAAATCTAAACTGAAGTATCATTTTGGGACATAATGTATACATTGTTTCGGCTCATTGTTTCGGCTCACGTGTCAATCTAGGATGGGGTTAAAAAATATCGTGTATAATGTATTTGCTGATTCTCACGAAAAACATAATGCAATAAATTCTCTCAAATCTCAACCGATAATGAAAAATTGCTGGTTGGGTAAATTCATTGAAAAAATAGGTATAAAATGAGATAGATGTTGTTAAAAAATTAGTAAAAAATACATATTCAGTAAGCCTTGTGGAATTTTTTTTTTTTTTAAATTTTTTTTTCCCGAATGATTGTAATTACTATGCTACTGGTCATCATCATAAAAATAAAATTCACACATAAAATAATGTTGTGCCAATTTTTTAATTCATAATTGTTTATTTTTAATTAGTCATGTACTGCACGTGATCAAAAGTACCATTAATTGGTGAAAAATTACAAATTTTTTTTTTAATTAGATTCTTGGTTGGGAAAAGGATCTGGGATTCTCTGGAATGGACTGGATTGGGTACCGACTAAGTTTAGAATATTGGGCTTCTTGAGTGGGCCGTAAATTTTTGATTCCTATTGAGTTTAGTAAACGGAAAAAGCGAACTGCCGTTTTCCTGTAAATACCCTTGCGGGTTCCAGCAATCACTCATGGTTCCGCTACGCCCTGCAATTTTGAATTAAGGCTACAATTCAACAAAAAGCTTCTTGTTTCTTCTTCTCTTTGATTCGATAAACCAAATATGCAGATCTTCGTCAAAACCCTAACCGGAAAGACGATTACTCTCGAGGTCGAGAGTTCCGATACAATCGATAATGTCAAGGCTAAGATTCAGGACAAGGAGGGGATCCCGCCGGACCAGCAGCGGTTGATCTTCGCCGGAAAGCAGCTCGAGGATGGCAGAACCCTCGCCGATTACAACATCCAGAAGGAATCCACCCTTCACCTTGTTCTCCGCCTTCGCGGTGGTATGCAGATCTTCGTCAAAACCCTAACCGGCAAGACGATTACCTTGGAGGTTGAGAGTTCTGACACAATTGACAACGTGAAGGCGAAGATTCAGGATAAAGAGGGAATTCCGCCGGATCAGCAGCGGTTGATCTTCGCCGGAAAGCAGTTGGAAGACGGTCGGACTCTAGCTGATTACAACATCCAGAAGGAATCGACTCTTCACCTGGTGTTGAGGCTTCGTGGTGGCATGCAGATCTTCGTGAAGACACTTACTGGGAAAACCATCACCCTTGAGGTGGAGAGTTCTGATACAATTGACAATGTGAAAGCGAAGATCCAAGACAAAGAAGGCATCCCACCGGACCAGCAGAGGTTGATTTTTGCTGGAAAGCAGCTTGAAGATGGGCGCACACTTGCTGATTACAATATCCAGAAGGAATCCACCCTGCACCTTGTCCTCCGTCTTCGTGGCGGTCTCTGAAGTTCCTCTTTTTTTGCACTATAAATTGTCTTTCTGCTTTTGCTTATGATTTTAAGTACTCTTTTGATTCATTCAGTTTTCAGTACGATGGTAGTTTTATTGTTGTATTTTGGAATTTTCAAATACAATTGGTGTTGAACTTTTCTTCATAATGCACTTGTTTCTGTTGTCTTTTAGCTAAGATGTTTGCTTTGGCTCATTTTGCTCTGGTCAATTTGAATTAGTCCTTCTGTTTTGCTCCCTTTGCTACCTTGCTTACAATTTTTTAGGGTACCATCTGAATGTTCTAGAGAGTTTTCAGAACCTTAAGTAATTGTTGTTAGAAGCAGAGAACTTAGGTCACATCAGTTATGTTGTACTATTGAGTGCCGTAGGAGTAATTAGTAACTAATGAATTCTTAAGTATAAATTCCTTTGGCTAAAACCAATTTAAGCACTTTTCAGCTTTAAGCTCTCTCATGTAAATCATGCAGAATGCATTTGCTATTCTTTCTTCGTGTTTTACGGATTCCATTCATCCTCAGCTTTGAATAAAGTACCTTTTTCTTCTTTGGTTCTTGTTTCCCTGCAATTGTTGGTTCATATCTTCTTTGGGGGCCTCTTCTTTTTGGGTTTTATTTTCCGCTACTGCTGTGCCTGGTTGGGATGAAGCTTTCATATAGAGTTATCAAATATTTTCTTTCTATTTGCTGTTTCAATCTTAGCTCTGTGCTCTTCTCATTTCTGGAAGCAAGATTCTTTTCTGTACTGCATTATTCTGTTCTACAATGCAGTCCGAGATGGTTGGAAACTGATTAGAGACTATACTGCAATGCTTTTTAAATGCGTTAAAGGCTGAATCGTATTAGAGGTGTGTTGTCTTTTACTGCCAATATTGACATTTTGTTAGAGACAAAGGCATATGAATTTTGTTTTTGTATCAATGGATAAACTTGCCACAATGTTTTCTTTTTCCCTTCTTTTTTTTTTCCGGGTTTTAGTAAACGTGTTTAACTGTTGTGTTTTGAAATTTTCAAGTACAATTGTTGTCTACACAAATGTTTTGCAGTTAAGGGACTTGCCGCAATGTTTTGTAGTTAACTGTTATGTTTTGAAATTTTCAAGTACAATTGGTTTTCAGTTTTCTTCACATATATCTGTTTCTGTTGTCTTCTGATTAAGACGCCTGTTCTGGCTCATTTTGCTCTGGTCAATATGAATTTTGTGCGTTGGTTTTACGCCCTTTGCTACCTTGCTTAGAAGTGACGTTCTAGAGAGTTATCAGGACCTTAAGTAATTGTTATTAGAAGTGGAATGACTTCCTGTGGAACATGCATGAGTTCAACGAGGTATTTCTTAAGTTGGCAAAAGAGTGATCATTTTTTCCCAGTTATCGTGATGAATTCTTAAGTATAAATTCCTTTGGCTAAAACCTGTTTAAGCACTCGCCAGCTTTTGGAATGAAATTTACTCAATGATCTATTCATTTGTTTATGGAAATCGTGCAGAATGCTTTTGCAATTCTTGCTTCATGTTTTTATTGATTCAGTCCAGCAATTGTTTGTTAGGATCATCTTGCCTCGGCCTGGTTGAGATGAAGCTTCATATGGAGTTTTCAAATATGTTCTTTCCTTTTGCTATTTCACTCTTAGCTGTGTGCTTGTCTTGTTTGTTGAAGGAAGATGCTTTTCTGCGGTGCATTAGTCTGTTATACAATGTGGTCCAAGACTAAGGCCATGCTTTTTAAATGCATAAAAGGCTGAGTTGTAATGGAGTCGTTTTATCTTAACTGCAAATGTTGTTAGAGACAAAGGCTTTGTTTTTCTATCAATGGAGAAACTTCAATTTAAGAGGGATTCATTTATCTGAAGTGTTGGTTTGAGCAAGTTTGATCCTGTTTTCTCCTCTAGGCGATGAGCTCCTTTCGTCTACTCTCGGTTAATTGTTGTCTCTATTTATGCCATATTCTTGTGTACAAATATATTTGGTCAATTGCTGTCTCTTTTTTTTGCCATATTCTGCGCACACAAATGTTTTGTAGATAGGATTTGCTGCAATTTTTTTCTTCCCCCTCTCTTTCTTTTTGGGGTTCTAGTAAACATGTTTACAGGCTTCATGGCGCACTTCCAGCCCAGTTCTCGACAAAATTGAACATAGGCTCTCTTTGTTTTTCCGTGCCAAAAATATCATATTGGACAAAATCACTGTGTTTACTTCCCCTTTGAATAAAAAATGCATCAAGGACTCTTAATCTCCATCCAAGAGAAACGGTGACATTTAACAGGCCTGACCTTGATGATCAACCTCATTTCCTTCAAGTTGTTCGCTTTTGAAGGAAATGCAGGACCCGAGAGACTGATGAATGAGGTAATACCAAGAAGCCCTGAACGTTTCTCCTACTCTATATATGACGCATGAATCATGATATTCAAGTAGCTATGGATTTCTGATTCTCTCAGAACTCTGATATCAGTAACAACTTCGATGTGGCTAAAAATGGAACTCTAGATGAAGCTGCGTATATTTATTCACATGTGAAAGATATGCAATTTTCGTATGAAACCGTGGCTAAATGAAATTTTTACCAGGTAGGTTGGCTAACTCCTTGCTTAACATGGATGCTGACACAAGAAACCATTAAGCATTCTAGAATCAAATTATTATGTCTCCCAAAGTTGACAAAATAAAACTAACAGGTTAGTCGGTGCGAGTCAATGGCAAGCTCATTATAGCTGAGACTTGAGATTGAGACAATCTTCACTGAAAGGTTGAAGTTTGACATCTGTCAAACATTTCTTCCAGCATTCAATGTGCCTTAGAGAAGTAGTTGAATGAAAATCATCTCTATATTAGACCGATTCCATTTCTCCAATCCTTTTGCGCCATATTCCATAGAAAAAACTCAAAGACCATGGATTCTTTCTCTCTTCCTAGAGTTTTACTTGTCGTTTCAGCTTGGCTTTTGTTGGGAAGTTTGATGACTGAAGTTACATATGCTTCAGTGATAGATGACCTCTGTGATCAATCAGCGGACAAATCGTTCTGCAAGGAGTGCTTAAGCAAAACAGGCCACACTGACAAAAAACAGCTAGGTGGTGATACCATATCTTGTGCTCGAACTTATACTTTAACCGCTCTCAAATCCTTCCAGCAGATTGCAAAAAACTCAACAGGTACACATTAGAGGGCATAATCTAAAACAAATATGCGATATAACCATATCACGCGATCCCAACCACGTTGTGTTTTTGATTTCTAAAACAAGTTCTTATATACTAATGAGAATTGTGTCTGCAGGTGAACCTCAAACTGTTGCACAGTTTTGTTGTCCATACCTTGAAGCAGTAGATCAGCATTTTAAGAATGCGACGAAACATTGGTCAAAATCTCACAAAGAGGATACAATTTTGTCTCTTGAAAATGCTGAGGCGAGTTATTTCTTTTGCTCTGAGGAAGTTCCAGTTGAGATGTCACCAGAATTAAACCGACAACTAAGTTGTATTAAGTCTGGTTACGAAGTGGCTCAGTCAGTCATAAAAGTAATTTCAGTGTAATAAACAGGCTATCAAATTGAGTGTATAGCTTTGCCTGATTTAAAAAAAAATGAATATATGTCTTTGTTTGATAACTCTTCTTATGTTCTGGTCAACAATGTTTATCTTTGCTTTACTCATTCAGATTCGATATACTATCTTCAACCAATACAAACTTCATCCCAAAATAAGCGCCGTATTCAGATTCATTCGGGCTACAGATTGTACTGTATGTTTTGTGCTCAGTGTTCTCATAAACTAATCCAAATGGTAGTAGAGTAATGACGAAGATGATTCACAAATGGCTACTGTGTAATTGAATGATAGTCCGATAGTTCCTAAAGATCTCACGACACGTTTGACACGATTTAACATATTGATAATGGTTATAATATATAGATAACGTAATGTACTGCGCGTTTGATATGATTATTATATGTTTTACATTTATATCGTATGTAGATAACAAAACATAACTATAACACGAAAATCCAAATTGACACCCTCGACTTTATCGCCATGGTAACTACCATTTTCTTCCCTTGAGCATTTTAGGCATTTGTGTTGTCCTGTCCTGATGAAGTTCTTAAACACCGCAAGTGAAAAGCATGATTTTTTCCCTTCAAATGTTGCTCATATGACAGTTGATTTATGCAAGGAACTTTACATAAACCACACCAACGCTGCTGCTGTTGAGCTGCATTCTGTTGCTGACCGCCACCACGAAGCTTCTCCTGGTGTTTTCTACCTTTGAAATGCAACTCTAAAAGAGTTTCATCAGAGCACCAGACTGAACACAGCTCACAAAATTTCCTCTTGTTCCTTCCAGCTTCAGTATTAGCCGAGTTTTCTGCTGTCCAACGCGGCTTGAAGCGCAGGTTAGCCCTGTGCTTATGTCCTTTCAAATGCTGTTTGTAGTTGAATGGACTCGAGCAGTCCACTTTGCAGAGATGACAGAACAAATCAGGTCCATTACGAACAGTGTTTGGATACAAGCTGGTTGGTTTTGGGAGGCAGTTGAGGCTGCCGGTAGATGTTTCCCCTGCAGTGTGGAAATTGATTCCTGGATGTGATGTTCTTTGGCTTTCAGCAGGCACAGAAGGTGATGGTTTGGGATTAGGAGTTGAAACTGGCATTCCATTTGCAGTGGGAATGGGTCTGTTTGTGGTTGTAAAAGGCCTAGTACCGCAGCCCGGCTTTGATTGCGACATCACACTCTGCCTCGAAAATTCATGTGTTGGTTTTGGATTCGGATTTCCATATGCACTTGAAGATGGTACCTAAAAAAGAAAGTAATTAAGCCGACCGAAGGTTACTGGAAGACAAAGCAGCATGAATCCTTCATCAACTAGTACAGTAGCAAGTATTTGGAAATAAAAACTGAGCAAAGGAAAGAATATCATAGCAATCATACTATTCAATTTCACTATTTCTAGTTCATGAGGCAGAAAATCAATGAATGGTTGAATCTTTTAGCTTCTGTTGAGGCCATATGAGAAACATCTTATGCAATGTGAACTATCATTTAACCACAAAGATATCTCCTTCTGTTTTAAGCAGAAAATGTGGTTTCTGAAGTACCTGCACTCGAATTCAGTTTGGATCAAATAACAAAAGCATGTTGCACATCAGTGGCAAAAGTAATGGAAAGTGTACATAAACTCACAGATTTTCCATTTTGGGCTTGCATTTTCAGTTTTGGACCCTCCAATGCTGGCACTGGAAGTGGTCTTCTGTATGCATTCGCAGATGGTACCTAAATCAAATGTTATTAAGCCGACAGGCTACTACAAGGGGCGATAGCAAGACGAAGAGCGACATGAATTCACTCACAAACTAGTATAGTACAGTTGCAATTGTTTGAGAAAGTACAACTGAGCATAAGAAAGGATATCATAGCAATCACGCTATGATCCACTATTTCTACTTCATTAGCCAGCCGATCTTAAGAACAGTTGAATGGTTAAGCTTTTACTGAGTCACAATGAGAAATATCAGTTCCAATGTGTACTGTCATAGAACTATAAGTTACAACCTGGATTTGGAGTCTATATTCAAAACAAAAAAAAAACATGATAAGAGATGAATCACATCAGTCGCAAGGCAATAGAAAGTGTAAGTGGACTCACTGATTTTCCTTTTTCCGCTTGCATTTTGGGTTGTGTACGCTCCAATGCCTGCATAGAAGCTTGACCACTGTTACTTGATCGAAAAGGAATCTGCTTAGGAGCAAGTGCAAGAATGTTTTAACAGAATGATGTTGCATACTTGTATAAGATGAAATTATAGAGTAAAATGTTTGAAAGAAACATAGATACCCCTTCTCCCTCCTCATCAATCCTCACAAGTTTCCAGCCATCCTTTTCTAGCTCCGATTCTCTATCACAGTTGATTGAACTATCTGGAGCCTGTCATTAATGTAGATTGCTTGCAATATTAATCAATGTTCATCAAAAGGATCATTGCATAATGATTGTTAATTTGTAACTGAAAGATACAACAGTTTATATCATGTTTCTCAAGAGTTATACTAACATATCTTAATTTTTTCGGGCAGAATTAATTGATGAGTAAGCAAAGAAACAACTTTAAGCACCTACAAACAATTTGGAAAAAAAGAGGATGAGTTTTGAGTTCTGATCACCTTCAGTGGTAAGAGGTTGTTGATTTCCTGCTGAGACAAGGAGCCAGCAACCATTTTCCTGTATGCTAATTCTCTCTGAATTGCTAGCTCCACAGACATTGTGTTTGCATCCCTTCTTTCTCCAGCCATTTTCTTTTTCTTCCACAAGCTTTGGAGATTTTTCTTGGTGGTTCACTTCACTCCACTGTGTGACTACGTGTTATGTTGTTAGGACAAACTCTCATAGACATGAAAAATTGATGAGAAGCCTTCTGATAATAATTTTGTAGTACTAATGTCAGGAATTATTGTCCTTGTTAAAATCAGACTGGTGCTGCTTAAACAAAGTGTATGATTGTGATTAGCTCAATAAAGGCACAGAAGAGGTACTGTACTGGAAGATTCTTCCAATTACTGAAAACAGAAAACTTCAGAGTTATTTACCAAAAAAGAAAGAAAACTTCAGAGTTCAGAAAGTAAAAGCGTCATTTATTCTCTCACCTTAAAGAGTTTTAAGTAATTATTTTCATCGAAGATTCAGAGAAACATTAAGGGCTTCTACTTCTGTAATGTGTAATTTCTTTAACATTTGAATTTCTGATAGTGCTATTGTTGTTGGTGAAATATTCAAGTCAAATATTTATCAAAAATTTTGATTACTGAAAATGCTTCATTGCAGGATCGTTTCATTGGCTAGGAAGCCCTTTAACTACTGTTCAGAAGTGCACTTTCTGTAGCGTTTGCAGAATGTTTCACCTTGTTTGTTGCATTTGCTTCAGTTTATAACTCGCACTTTCATCCCTGAATCCACTTGATTCAGTAAAAGGATACGATACATTTGACATGATTAACATATTCGTAGCATTCATATCATTTATAGACAACAAAACACAATTACAAAAGGGACAACAAAATCAAACACCCCTAATTTTTCGCAGGCACAAACGGCATTACTTCCCTTATGCATTTTAGGCATTGGTCTTTTCTTTCCCTGATGAGGTTTCTAAAGCCCAAAGGTGAAATGCATGAGTTTTTCCCCTCAAGTGTAACTCATATGACTGTTGATCAATACAAGGAACTTCACATAAACCACACCAAAGCTGCTGCTGCTCTTGTGCTGAATTCTGTTTCTGATCACCCAGCAAATTCTCCTGGTGTTTTCGACCTTTGAAATGTACCTGTAAATGATCTTCATCCGAGCACCAGATTTCACACAGCTCACAGTTTCTCATCTTCCTTGCAGCCGCAGTGTTAGCTGAGTTTTCACGAATGCATAGTGGCTGGAATCGCAGGTTAGACCTGTGCTTTTGGCCTTTCAAATGTTGTTTGTAACTGAACGGACCCGAGCATTCCACTTTGCAAAGGTTACAGAATAAGTAAAGCGATCCATCACGAACAGCATCTGGGTAGGGAGTTGGTTTTTGGAGGCAGTTTAGGCTGCTGATATATTCTTTCCTTGGAGAATGCACTCTGATTCCAGGTTGTGATGTTTTCTGGTTCTCAGTTGACACTGCTTTGGATGTTTTCAGAATAGGGACTGAAATCGGCATTGCATTTGCTGAGGGAATGGTTCTGTTTGAGAATGAAGGCGGCTTACTGCAGCCTGGCTTTGGTAGTGACATTGCACCCTTTCTTACAAAGAAATGTGTTAGTCTGGAACTGGATTTGTATTTGCACTTGAAGATGGTACTACTTGATAAAAGGTAAGCGAGCTGACAAAAGGAGATTGCGGAATGAAGAGCAACATGTATCCAATCATCAACTAGTATAGTATAGTTGCAAGCTTTTGAAAATTAAAAACTGAGCAAAAGGAAGAATATCAAAGAAATATTTGAATTTGTTAGCTTCTATTGAGTCACTATGAGAACCATCTTTTGCAATGTGCACTGCAACAGAAGAATAACATTGATATATCCTTCTGTTTCATGCAGAAAACTTGTTTCCAACTTCCTAAAACCTAAATTTGGAGTTTGTATTCGAATAATAAAAGCTTATTAACAGATGAAGCATATCAGTACCAAATCAATATATAAACTGTTATTAGCGGACTCACCGATCTTCCATTTTCAGCTTGCATTTTGAGCTTTGGACCTTCCAATGCCGGACGTTGAATCTGCATATAAATGTACAAGCTAGATGTCATGTAACATATTTGTCAACATGTATGAAATGAAATCTTGACTAATCATAGCAAAGAGAACATACCCTTTCTCCCTCATCAATCTTTACAAGCTTCCAGCCATCCTTTTCCAGCTCTGATGCTTTATCACATTTGAGGTCTGTTATCAATGTTTATTGCAGCAATCAGCATTCTTGGAATGGACAGTTGGCTCATGATTTTTACAAAGTTACCGGAAAATTCACATAAGTGTGGGTTTAATCATTCCAAATTTTTTTTTACAGCTTTGTTAGTCAAATTCCACCTTGTCTTAATACAGCACGCTAAATCATGTTCTCAAGAGTTACACTAACATAATGCAAGCTTTTGAGAACAGAACTAATAGATGAGTTGGAAGAGAAGAGCCTCAGGCGACTGCAAACATTTCAAAGATGATTTCGAGTTCTGATCACCTTCAATGGTAAAAGGTTTGCCTTTTCCTCCTTGGACAAGAAGCCAGCAACCCTTTTCCTGTATGCTAATTCCCTCTGAATTGCAAGCTCCACCGACATAATGTTCACTTCCCTTCTTTCGGCAGCCATTTTTTGCTTCTTAGTTCTTTACAAACTTTAGAGACTTTTCATGCTGGTTCACTTCATTCACTGTGTGACAGTGTTTGTGCTGTTAGAACACTCTCTTACTGAGGTTACAAATGATAACTAATCAGGAGCTTTCTCTCAATAGTATTTTTGTACCACTGTCAGAATTGCTTGTCCTTTGTGAAATCAGACAGTTTCTACTATATCAAGTGTATGACTGTGATTTGTTAAAAAGAGAAAAAGGAAAATACAGATGGGACACTGTACTGGATGTTAAAAGCTGGAGATTCTTCCAATTACTGAAAAAAGAAAACTTAGAATTTAAAAGCTTCATTTATTCTCACCTGAAGAGTTGTGAGTAACCAATTTCATACAACATGTTAGAGAAAAATTAAGGAAATTTACTTAAGTAACCTATGTAATTTCCTCAACATTTCAATTTCTGATAATGCTAATGTTGTTAGTAAACATAGTCAATATCTATCACTTATGAGGTACTTTGATCATTGTAAATGCTTCTTCTTTGTTTTTTTCTTTTACTTGACTACGCAGCTCATTAACTTTTGTATAGATGAACACTTTCTTTCAATATTGCTGTTTGTTTGCTTCAGTTTGACTTACACTTCCACTGCTGCAGCCTAAATTCAATAAAATAGTGATAGATCAATGTCATTACAGCCGAAATGTTGGTTCACTTCATGTAAAGAATGATAATACTTGGCCTCAAGTTCGCTACATTCTCTCGGCGTTCATTACCATATTGATCTACAGTCAGTTAATCCATTACATGTTAGATAGGATTCAAGTGTAATTTTTGGGCTTCACTTGGTACATTTTTAATGATCAATATTGGTTCAATTCCTTGTTTCTGCTGTGTCCAGTATTACTAGTTTTTGTAGCTTTATTAATGTACTCAAGGCTATCTCTTCTCCCTGCAAAATGTTACTCATACTGTGCATTAGGTAGAGTTTAACACGATTTACATATTTATAAAGTTTAAAGGAACAAATGGGAGCCTGTTCAAAATATCTTGTAGTACTATTGTCAGGATTTATTGTCCTGTGTAAGATCAGAGAGTTGCAGCTTAATCAAGTGTATGACTGTTATTAGTGAAGCTCAATAAAGGGAGATGAGGAAATGTACTGGAAATGAAAGTTATAAGATTCTTCCAATTATTTATAGAAAAAAGAAAAAAGAAAACTTGTAAAAGGTTCTTTAATTTTCTCAACTTAAAAAATTTGCACTCAAGTTACAGAACACTTTCTTGTAGTGTTTGTCAATCTTGTTTGCTGCAGTGTGCTTGTTCTTTCTTCATATGCTCAATAATCTGATGAAAAATTTCTTCAAGGAATATCAAACAATTTCTCATTAATCTTCAAATTCCTGTCTATATTTACAATGCTGCCAAAATTGTAAAGAAAAAAAGAAACAATGAATCTTTTGAGAGTATGTTGTTTACATGAACAATTACAGGTCGGGGTACCAAGATTAGCTAAATATCTGGATGCTTAAATCGATAAGTTCGTGATGATTCAGTTTGTGGGAGGAGAAGAATCACTACTCCGATGCCTTCTACTTCCTGATTTGCCTGAAATTCCAAACAACATAGCTAGGACCTCTTTCATGTTAGGCCTCAGGTGCGGCGATTCAGCTGTACATCTTATTCCGATTTGAAGTAACTCACACATTTGTTCTGCTCCCTTTTCCAACCCAGATACCAAAAATGCTACTGGAATAAGGGATCTAGTGAATCCTTGTCGCCCGTCTCCCATAACCCTTCTTGCCCAATCAAGAAGGCATTCTTCTCCTCCATCTACAGCACGCCTCCCGGTTGCTAGTTCCATGATTAGCACACCATAGCTGTACACGTCGCCTTTTGTTGTCGCGTGCCATGTCTGGCCATATTCTGGTGCAACATAGCCAACCGTACCAGCTACCATTGTGCTGACATGACTTCCTCCAGGATTGATAACTCTGGCAAGTCCAAAATCAGTGACTCGCGCCTTGCCATTTTTATCTAGGAGCACATTGCTTGCTTTGACATCTCTGTGCACAATAGGAGGGTAACACTCATGGTGTAAATACACTAAAGCGCGTGCTACATCGATTGCAACCTCAATGCGCCTTCTCCATGTAAGCTTAATTCGATCAGTGATGTGGTCCTCTAAACTTCCACCTTCCATGTATTCATAAACAAGCAACTTCTCCGATCCATCAAGACACCATCCATAAAGAGTTACCAAGTTCGGATGAGGCCAACCAAATCCATTTCCACTCAATACTTCCATTTCAGCCTGAAACTCCTTTTCACCCTCAAGGCCATCTCTTTGTGCCTTCTTCACAGCTACCTCAGTTCCATCAGGCAAAACCCCTCGATAAACTATTCCGTAACCTCCCCTTCCAATGATCCTGTCATGGGAAAAGTTACAGGTAGCTTGAAGAATGTCAGAATGAGTAAACGCTGTTTTATCCAAGCGTATGACCTTGACACTATCTGATGGCCAAGGAGAAGAAAAGCTTGAAGTTGAAACCAGTTCATGCATTCCCTTTGATCCTTCTAGCAGATATCCTGATGCATCCGTTGGATTCTTTAATACGAGGCAAGCTATGAGTGTCAACACACCACATACTAAAAAAGCCATTAACACAGCCAGGAACACCAAAAATGCATTCAACTTTGAGCGGTTGTGTTTGTTATCCATTTGGCCTGTCTGAGAACCATTACTATTGTTAGCAATGAAGGATGGAAGACGTAAATGGGGATCACCTAGGAACGACCATTTATCAAACGTCGCTAACTGTCCAGTGTCTGGTATTGCACCTGAGATATATGGATTGTAAGAGATATTGAACTTGGTCAGGTCCGTCAAGTTGTTCAAGCTAGCCGGAAAGTCACCAGAGAAATTGTTGTATGAGAAATCGAGGTTTAGTAAGCACTTAATACCGCCAATCTCTGTGGGAATCTCACCAGAGAAATTGTTCCGTGTCAGGTTGAGGACCACTAGACCCATCTGTCCAATTTGAGAAGGAAGTTGACCATAGAACCCATTCATTCCCAAATGCAGCATACTGAAGTTATGCATATTACCAATTTCAGTAGGAACAATGCCAGATAACTGATTACCACTTAGTTGAAGATAGCCTGAAATGTCTGAAGTTCTCGCGTTAGTACCCGGTCTACAGAATTGGAACAGACCATATCCAGTGAGCAACATATCCCACAAACTGCTACATTTCTTAGTTGTTAGGAGTTTAAAAACAAAGCTGAACGGAGCGTAATCAGCAGGTATCCACCTTCTCATTGTCAAGCACCCCCCTCTGCCAGCATTAGTTTGATAATTTTGCTTGTTAAACAGGAAGGTTGGCGTTGGATCAGCGCCGATATTAGTCAGCTGGGGAGGAATTGGTCCAGAAAGTTGATTATTTGCAAGGTTCAACCACAGCAAGCTGCTACAATTCCCGAACTCGGGAGGAATTTCACCAGACAATTCATTGTTTGCAAGCATCAACCACAACAGTGAGCTCAATTTTCCCAAGCTTGATGGAATGGAACCATTTAACCTGTTGTAAGAAAGGTCGATGACCTGTATCCCTTGGAAATTTCCATATTCGGATGGAATTGGTCCTGTGAACTGGTTGTAGGCGAGAATCAAGAACATTAAGTTCGGCATCTGAGAAACTTCAACAGGCAAAGGACCAGATAAATTGTTGTAGCTCAAGTCCAACCGGTAAATGTTGGTCAAATTCAGGATGCCTGATGTGTATAACCCGCCAGAGTATGAATTCCCGTGCAAAACTAAGAATTTCACCTGCTTAAATTGGCCAAGAATGGATTGTATTTCTCCTCCAAAGTTGTTATCACTTAGGTCAAGAAAGGTAAGGTTGCTCAGACCTACCAGGGACTCTGGAATATCACTGGAGAAATTGTTGCTCCCAAAGTAAAGTGCTTGGAGGCCTGAAATCGAACCAATCTCGCCTGGAATTGGCCCTGAGAAACTATTGCTCCACAAATTCAGACTCTGCAGACTTTTGCAATATGAAATTTCCATGGGAACATTCCCAAAGAACTGGTTTTCTGAAAAGTCCAAAGTCTGCAAACTGCAATTTCTTGTAATGAATGATGAAGGGACATTGCCTGTGAAATGGTTTCCAGAGAGGGATAACTCAACAAGCCTGTCAAAACCATACCATAAACCTCCAGTCAAATTGTTGGTGCTCAAATCAAGATATTTCAGATTCAAGCATCCCTCAAAGGCCGTCCCAAGATCACCAGAAAACGCGTTATTCGACAGGTTTGCAACCCTCAAACTGTTGCCAATTCCTGGAATAGCTGACCTGACGCTTCCCTGAATTCTGTTCTGGGAAAGATCAAGTACTTCCAAACTAGTCAGTCCGGTCAAGTTGAGCGCATAATCGATGAGGTTATGCGACAAATTCAGGAACTTCAGGTTCTTACAATGGCCTAAATCTTCTGGAATCCCCTTGCCAATGGAATTCACTGAAAGATCCAGGTAAGTTAGCTCAGTCAATTGCGAAAAGCTCCCGAAGAAATCTCCAGCTATATTATTAGCAGACAAGTTGACGCTGGTAACCCGATTTTTCGTGTTATTACATGTAACTCCATTCCAGCTGCAGGGATTAGAACTGGAATTATTCCACCCAGAATAGCTTCCTTTATTGACAGGATTGCGTTCTTCAAGAAATGACTTCAGGTTCAATAGCACATTTCTGTCTGTATCTAAAGAATCTCCAGCAACAAGCTGACCTGTAAATCCATGTAATCATAAGCAAAACTTAGCACTAAAATATGATTCAGCAAAGTCAACTCAGAAAATCAACCTTGGAGAACTCAAAACCACCTTAAAATAAAACCCCCTCACAAAAATAAGAACCAAAATCAACCATGCAGAAGATTAAATTAAACCCCATAACAATATAAACCCAAATCATTTACACAATGTAATTATCATGTCCCTCATTTGTAGACACCAAAGATTATAACTTTAATCAAATTTATGGGTTAACCCATTTCCAAAGAACTAAAACCAAAGGGCAAAATGAAGCAGTTGTTCATACTTATAATCATAGCCCTGAAACAATTTGACAAAGTTTACCTGTGATCAAGAACAACAAGGTGAATAGTGCTAAAACGAAAGGTTTATCCTTTTCGTCTTCTGGCATGATCAAACTTCAAAATCCCCTGTTTTTCCTCCTTAAAGCTTTCTTCTTGTGAACTTCTTTTCTGGGCTAAGGCTAACTTATCTGAAATTGTTTGATCATATTGAGTGATTTGATGACAAAAAATGACGAACCAAATATTTGAGACTGATGAGACAGAGTTGTTGATTGAAGCAAACCATCTTCAGTGTTTCTGCAGAATTTAATACTAGAAAAAACAAAAATGAAGAGAGCGCCTGCAGTCTGCAGATTGAAGATAGAAAATTTTATTTGGACCAAACCAAACAAAACTTGCAAAGAATGCACGTACGTTATAATTTAATACTACTAATGGTAATTCTCTTTTGTTTTGCTTTTCCACCAAGTTTTTTTTTTTTAGTATGGGACAATTGTAAGACTATTTGATTAGAGGATGATCTTAAAAAGAAAAAAAAACATGTTTAGGCATTAATGGTACCAAATAAAGACCCTATACAAAACGTGATTAGAAACTAAGGCTTTGATAATCACTTAATACAGTGTGCGTTTAATAATTACTATTGAAAAATTCTTATTAAGTACTGAACTAATTAAATACGTTTACAGTAGTATAGCAATTACAAATATGAAAACGATATAAAATATAATGTATTAATATTTTCTTAAGGTTCTTTTACCATAAATGTTCAACTTTCAACCCACAAATATATAAGAGATTATTCAATACATCTAAAATTACTCAATTATGTTGTTCCTCAAGACAAATCACTTGTTTTTTGGGTTTACATTTCGTTTGTTTTAGGTGGAAGTTGGAATTTGGGAAGGCATGGAAGCAAAGTAGAGAGCCGCCCAAGTGGACCATTTTGTTTGTAGCTTACACCGGCTTTTGATTTGAAACTGGAATTATTAGCAATATAATAATCATTTGGTCACTTGGTCAAACTTCATATTTTGTGTTCATCTCCAACTTTTTCATGTCTTTTTGGTGTACTTAAAAGGGTTTTTTTTTTTTTTTGGAAATTTCTTGGCCTTGTAGTTGTTTGGAACTTTGGATTCTCTATGATTTTCAGGGAAGATATGAGAAAGGTTGAAAATGTTGAAAGTTGAATTTGTTTTGTATTAGTTCTCTTTTTTAGAAATTTTTGCTCCCCTATGTATGCCTATGTTTGGAAACTTCCTTATGAAGATATTCTTTACTGGAATTAGTTTTGGTTTTTTTTTTTTTCTAAATTAGTTCTAAAAACATTATATGAGATGAATTTTAAAAGTGAATTCTTTTGGCAGTGTTACAAAACACTATTTTATCTCATTTGATCGAGCAAGGTAAGTTCATTTAGGAAAGGAATACTTTCCCAAAAAATATTTCAATCACTGTTGGATGATGATATGTTTTAAACTCTTGCTATAGTTAAATCTTAATAGTAGAAAAAAATTAATACTACATTGAACATATAATGAAATGAGATAATAATTACGAAAAGAAAAAAAATCATTAACCCCTAATAAACACTCTTGTATAGACACTTACAAAATCAGTCATTCTGTTACTCTCTCTCTCTCTGGCTCTATTCATGTTGGAGGAAAAACTGTTTTCATTATAATTAAAAAAAAAAGTTACAAAACAATTTTTATATCTTTTGGAATCTGACTTTTTATTAAAAGGAAAAAAAAAATAAAGAGAGTAAACTTTAGAGTTTGGACTTTCAGAGTGGTCCATAATGTAAATGATGAAGAGAATCAAATATAAAGGGAAAAAAAAAACACACAACTAATACATGCATATCTTTTCCTTTGTAAATCTAAATCCTATACCCTCAAACAAATTAGTCTAAGAGTTTGGTCAGTCAAAGTGCCTATATATTTTCATATACCCAAAATCATGTTTTTTTTTGTTTTTTACATTTTTAAACTAAAGTGAAATCAACACGAAACCAAGAAAAAAGAAACCTATAATAAAATAAAATAAAAGTGTACAAATAAAAGGGAAAAAATAAAAAGAAAGAAAAAAAAAGAAGAAACCAAGGCGATCTAGACCAAACTACCTAATTCAGATTGTAGGTTGTAAAATGATTTCATTGTTTTCCTCTATATTCTAAGATGATTATATCTATTTTATGAAACATGACAACATGTACTTCAAATCTGAAAAATCAAATCTATTGGACGGTAAATGCATGGCAAAGAACAAAATTGAGATTAGTAGTAAAAGCAGGGACCCTAAGCCCTATAAACAAAAAAAGCATAATACTAATAATACCCCACTTTGTGAAAAAAAAAAAAGGGAAAAATTTTGTATATTATCTTGGGAGAAAAGGAAAGAGGAAAAAAAAAAAAAAAACCCGATGAGTGACACGTTCAATATTGAAATTACTTGGAAGATTTCATACATCAAATAGCTAATTCCAGGCTTCCAGCCATCCCATAGATATATTGTTTCTGAAGCATGATTGTCCCCATTTTTTGTGCTAATTTAAATATTCCTCTGTCCCAAAATCATTGTCCAATTTAGAATTTCACTTTTAGTACAATTTGAATTAGAAATGAAAACCCAAACTAGACAATAATTATGGGACGGAGGGAGTACAATTTTTTTTGTTCCCATTGTTTATGAACTCATACATTGTGTTAACATGTACTTTTTTTGGTTCCAAAATGATTTATTGCGGATTTTTATTCTAATTGTAGTTGTAACTAAAATATAATTTTTTTAATAAGTAAAAAATATAATCTGCACAATTATGTGTGTACGGACGAAGTATATACGGTATTTGACCTGGCATTTGGGCTATAACAATTTGTATTCGATCCCCGTTATACCTACTTTGTAAAAAAATCTTGGTGAAAGACATATAGAAGTCAGCCAGGTCTATATCTTGTCTGGTAAATGTTGGCCACGTATGTTTGTGTGTTTAATTCCAAAATAATCACCACAATTTTAGTGGAAACTTCAAAGCTAGAATTATGAACTAATTTGTGTACTTCTAATATCTTCCTTAAGTGTCCTAGTGCTTCTTTCGAAAAAAGAATACTCCCTCCGTCCCATAATTATTATCCAGTTTTAATAAAATGAAAGATTTTATTTTTGGTCAAATTTAACTATATTTTACCTTAAACAACCGGATATACCCGTACATAAGTAATTATTTAGCCACTAAGATTTTATGGATAATGTTTTTTACTAAGGACAAATGTATAACTTGATCCATAAAAAGTCAAATTGAACAATAATTTTGGGACAAAATTTTTTGGCCAAAGTGGATAATAATTATGAGACGGAGGGAGTATAATAATAATGAAATGAATCATATCAACTAGCCCAAAAAAAAAAAAAGAAAACAAGGTTCAATACAAATTGATTGACATACTTACTAAAAAAAAGAAGGAAATCGAACTCTAAAACATTCAATACCTTGCTTATTTTTATCAAATTAAGCTTAAGTACGTATATGAGTACTGAAAACATTTTAACATGGATTTATTAATCCAATAATGATCAAATATTATTAAATTCTCAAAACCGACCTTAAACGTTGGCTAGTTAGACTTAAACCACAAAAAGATGGATAGATCGAAGAACTCAAAAAACGAATTATATTTACCATAAAGGAAGTACTCCCACTGTCCCAAAATTATTGTCCAGTTTGAGATTTCATTTTTAGTACAACTTGAATTAGAAATGAAACTCAAACTGGCAATAATTATGGGACAGTATTTTAGCAAATCATATTTACCATATTAACTCGCCAATCATATTTTAGCAAATCTCAGTATTTACATTTACATTAACAGTTAGTCATTTACCATAGAGAATATATTAACTTTGTTTAGTTTGTCAAAAAAAAAAAAGTACACTTTGACTTGCTTACGAGGTTTTGTCCGTACTCACGTGTGTATAATATCGTCCAAAAGTCAAAGTTTTTAATTTAATCTGGAAACTGCTGTCCGTGCGTTTGTCTTTCTCCTTGTATTTTTAGTCTTAATTAATTACTTAACGCAATTAAGTACAAATTCATGTAACCTTGTTAAATAATCAAATTAAATTACATCACTATAGGAGTCGTTATAACCCGTTAGCGAATTAAAAATATTTTTCAAAAAAAAGAAAAGAAAAAGCTAACCTCATTATTGATGAAAAGTCAAAAGGAGGTGGAACCTTACATCAGATAATGCATGGTATTAAGCTAGCTAGCTAAGCCAATTAGATTATGAAGAAATTATGATTAATTTAATTAATTGATTAATTGAGTAGACTTTTGTATTGTGCCAAATGGAGTAGTTTCGCAAGTTTCTTGCTTGAATGCTTTCAATTTGTTGAAAAAAATGGTAATCTATTCGGCTATATATATATATATATATATTTATTTTGCTATAGAACCCTACCTACAGCTAGTTAGTTTCATTGTTTGAACAAAGAAAAAGTCATGCTCAATAAATTAATGATCCAAATATTACAAGAATTTTTACATTTAACACTTATAATTTCATGATTTCAATCACGGAGTCAACCAATTAATCGCGGAATTATAGAATTTCTCGACAATTTAAAATACTTGGGAGAATTTATAACATGTTATTGTCTTGTTTGAAAAGTATTTATGGATGCTCTTAGGACGTAAATTGAATGTTACAAGTAGACTATGGACTTTGACTTAATAAAGTTGGATTAGAACCTCTATGTTCATTGAGCACTTTTATTCGGTCACCAAATTATACTAATTTTGACAAATTTTACACCTAAAATGATCAAGACAGCCCCTTCGAATTATTATAATAATGACGGTTAACTCTAATGAAAATTAGTAGCATTCTGTCGGATAACTAGGGTTTCACGACGACAATAGTGAATCCTCGTGATTAAGCCATGAACGAGATTATTATAAATAAATTTTGTTGTTATTACAAATTAATCTTTAGTAACACACGTAAGGAACCCTTTGTTGCTATTTCGATTTTCGGTGATGATAAAAGGATTTAACTTGGTAATAATAGTACTCCCCCATCCTCAATGTAAATCATTTGATTTGTTCTTAAATTTTATCTAGTACGTATTTTTAATTAATAAAAAAACTTTAAAAAATATATTTTCACAATTGTTGTGTTTTCTTGATTAGTAGTAAATATTTTAAAGGTTTTTTCGTCCATTAAAAATGTGTATTAAGTGAAATCTATTAAAATACTTTATATTAATGACCGGAGGAAGTATTCCGTAACAAAAATGTTGTAGTAGGCGGCCGGAATTTTCATGGTCAAATTTTTGGATTGCTTTTGTTGGAATAATGTTAACATTTTTGGTCAGCAAAATGTTGTAATTTTTCTGACCTTAACAAGCGGCCACACGTGCATAGTAGTAGTTTAAAAAAAAAATCAATAATTAGAAAATTAAAATAATGCAACAATAAGACTTTTCCAAATGGCTTAAATACAGTGAAGACTATGGAATTTATGAATTATGGAACCCATAATGAATATCTGACTCGGAAGCTTATGTGAACCAATTTGAACACGTCTATGAAATTATGAAATTCCTTTCATTCGGTTATTCCTTGTCTATTAGAAAAGTATATTTATTATTGCGCATATTGGCCTCCTATAACATTCATTTCCTGATCTTACATTTTCCAAATAAACCCACATGTGATTCCATCTCAAAACCAATTGACAATAAGGAAATAACACATGCGATATATATATTATGATCAAGTTGGCTGCCCAAGCCCAATGTTAGATAAGTGTCTTTTACTTGTTTTCAAGTTCAAAGGGGAATTTTAACACCCCTCTTCAAGCCTTTTGACAATAAGGGAAGTAGCACGTGGGGTATATATGGTGATCAAGTTGGCTTCTCAACTTCAATATAGAATAAGTGTCTTTCATTTGTTTTCAAGTTCAAAGGAGGATTTTAACACCCCCTCTTCAAGCCCAAAAGGGGTTGAACAAAGCTCCTTTGAACAGTTAAAGGCCCCATATGGGCAATCAAACCAGAGAAACCGTCGGATCGGTCAAAGTCCACCACAATGTATGCGGATTAAAACCCGCTCTGATACCATCTTGAAAGCCCAAATAGACCCACATGTGATTCCACCTCAAAATCAATTGGCAATTTAGGGAGTAACACATGAGGTATATACGGTGCTCAAGTTGGCTTCTCAATTCCAATGTGGAACAAGTGTCTTTCACTTGTTTTAGAGTTCAAAAGGGAGATTTTAATAACTAGTTAAAATATTAGCACACAATTTTTTTTTTTTAAAAAACCATTATTACCTATTTTTTTTAACAAAATTTAACTGATATGAAAGATAGGATGTACCTTGAAATCTGTCTTAGAGGAGGTGTAACTTTAAAAGTATTGTAACTTGTAAGAGATCTTGTGCCAACTGGCCATACGGGAACGAGAATTTGCTTCCTTTTTGTTTTTTTGTTTGTACTCATTTGTAACAAGTAGGGGGGAAAAACGGATTGTGGATATTAATATTTTTTTTGATATTATACCTGGTGTTTGAAATTATTATTCTGCCTATTACAAATTCGAGTTGGTTAGATCTTTTTGAAGGCAATTTAATTGCCAGTATTTTTATCGTTTGAGAAGCCAAAATTCATCAATGATGTTCCATGAAATCTGGATCATATGATATAGGATTATTATTTCGTTCCTCAGAAATCTATGATTATTAATTTTTTTTTTATAAGAAATCTTATGGCATGAAAACTCAAGAACTTTTTCCTGTGAGAACGTTCAGCAGCAAGTTAAATTTGACCAGTGGAAGATGACTTTAAAATGTTTTATTTTATTTTTAGTTTGATGTAAGAAGATGAATTACTTGTCAAACAAGCATAACGACTATTTGCAACGAGAACTGGTTTTTAAGTTCTAAAGGTGACAATTGGTGTCATTTCTAGGTTCGTTGGTCGGGTTGTAACAAGATATACAAATAGAATTCATCAATGATCAATCCGAGTTCTTCGTATCTATTTATTTTTGTTAATAATGGTAGTGAAAAACAAACCCGCACATAAAAAAAAATTTAAAAAAATCAACCTAAAAACTAAAGCAAAAGTTACCAACGGATTGTGCATGTTATTGTATACTTCATCCGTAATAAAAATTCCTCCCTCCGTCCCATAATTATTGTCCAGTTTGAGTTTTCATTTCTAGTTCAAATTGTACTAAAGGTGAAAACCCAAATTAGATAATAATTTTGGGACAGAGAGAGTATACGCTTAACTCAAACTCATAATCTTAATAGCCTTGCCACTACTTTTCATTCTCAACTGAAGAAAAAGTTTGTATCCAATCCGGTTTTTCCTGATGTCCACTTTCCCTGAACAGAAAGCTGAAAGTACTGAAAAAAAATATTGAAGTTTAAGATTCATAACAACAAGACTTAAGTATTGAGCCTCTGATTTTGTTTTCTACTGTAAAAACAAACTTTAACTATTGATTAGCATATGAATTCTGGCTAATCAAGTCTCAATAAAACCATTTAATTCTTGCAGAGTAACTGCCTCCGCATGAATCTTCATCACGTCTCCAGTTACGCCTTAAGAGGTTTATAGTATACCCAATCTAGTTTCAAATCAGTTGCGTTTGTATCAGAAGTTGAAAGTGGGTTGGACTTATCCAAGAATCCAAGGGAAAAGCATTATCATACAACAGCTTATTTGTGCAACAGTCTGAAACAATGACACAAGTCTGGAACCAGACAATTGTCTTCACATACTTGTCCGAATATGCATGAATTCGAATGCGTTCATTCACAAGATGACAGTTTATCCAAAAAAAATGAATCAATGTTCATTGAAATCCCAAAAAAAAACCATATGAAACCTAAGGAAAAGTCGTCCTGCGTGCCATTCCCGCAATGATATAGCAAAATCAAAGAGACGGAATGAAGGAATGTTATTTTGAATTTTGGATCTTTGTGAGTCACAAGCATGCATAAATACCCCCTATAACAAACAATGTTACACAAGCAAATCAATCAGTAATTAAGATACAGCAATGGCTAACAGCAAAACAAAAATCACTTACTTGTTGGGTATTCTCATCTTGATAGGTGCAGAAATTTCAGTTTCTTGTGCATCTCGTGATATTCCAGTATCATCGAAGCAGCCCTCTCAGGACATAAAAGGGGCATACTGGCCCTCATGGCTTGCAGAGAGTCTTCCTCCATCAAGCATACCGGCTTCACTTTTCACTCACCTCTTCTACGCTTTTGTTCAGTTTGACGCAACCACATATCAGCTTACAATAACCCAACCTGATGATCAATGGATGACAAATTTCACGGCTACATTTCATGGGAGCACAACAGGGACAAAAACCTTCCTAACCATCGGAGGAGGAGCAACAAGTCCTTACAGTTTCTCCAGCATGGTGAGCACTCCTGGTAATCGTGATGCATTCATACAGTCCACCATAAATGTCGCGAGAAAATACGGATTTGATGGTCTTGATCTTGATTGGGAGTTTCCAATTAACCAACAAGACATGACCAACCTTGCATCACTTTTTAGAGAATGGCGTGCTGCCTTGGAGAAAGAGTCTGTTGCCTCAGGTAAACCTCGACTCTTGATATCCGCAGCTGTGTACTTCGCATCTAATTTCTTCTTAGCTCAAGTACCCTATTCTTATCCCGGTGCCGCCATCAAAGAGTATGTCGATTCCATTAACCCTATGTGCTTTGACTACCACGGAGCTTGGAATACTTCAGTAACTGGTGCTCAAGCACTGCTCTATGACAAGTCCAGCAATGTGAGCACAAGCTTTGGTATTTCTTCGTGGAAAGAGGACGGTGTACCCTCGAGGAAGCTAGTCATGGGGATGCCAGTGTATGGGAGGACATGGCAACTGAAAGATCCTAATGATCACGGGATTGGAGCTCCTGCCGTGGGAGTTGGCCCTGGAGATGGAGGAATCATGCAATATAAGGATATAGTGAACTTCAATCAGGCAAATAAAGCTACAGTAGTATATGACAGCCCAACAGTATCAACCTACTCCTATGCTGGGACTAACTGGATTGGCTATGATGACACCAGATCAATCACACAAAAAGTCAGATTTGCCAAGGATCAAGGTCTTGGTGGATATTTCTTCTGGGCACTTGGGTTTGATGAGGATTGGACTATTGCCAAAGCAGGTAATGAATGCCCTAAGTTATCCAGCTTCATTTCCATCATATTACAGGGTGTTATAAAATCATCTATTAATTAATCCAAGAGAACCGGAAACTTTTATATGATTTTGACATAACCAATTCAGCACCAGTTTTATAGCATATGGATGCTAAAGATATACAATTCGATCCTAATGCAAATATTTTATGATTCCAAACTTCTAGAATTAAACTAACTACTGCCATCACACGACATAACTATGCAGCTGCAGCAGCATGGGATAACTAGTCTGCAATGTATCTGCTGTACTGCAAGGAAGGACGATATTGTGTTAAGGATTTATCTTCCATTTCTATTATGCTCATATTCATTTGTATTACTGCGTGTGAACCGCTTCATCTATATGTAACATCCTTCTGGATTTATGAGTGAGAGAGTTTTTGTGGATGTAAATACAAAGAAATTTATTACTTGCACATTTGAGTAGTTTCCAGTGTGATTTAAGTGTAGTAGTTGTTATGCTGATGTTTAAAATGGATGCCTATATCAATTATTCAAATAGTGGGCTGTAATGCAGAAACCATCAAAAATCAACTTACTCGGTGCATTTCCAGGACCAAAAAGACAAGTAAAGCACAACAGTTTCTACCACCTAAGAATAAATTCAATTTGGATAGTAGATACAAATGAGGTGAATGAATAATAACTCTAAATTTCAAGGAAAGAATCAGAATAAATACCAGGTGTGAACTGCATGGCCCTTGGTGCTTTTAATAATAGACCTTCTTGGACAACAGAACATTCAGATGAAACCATCCATACACCATTGTCATCTACTCTCATAGCAGAGTAAAATACTTTACCGACCAAGCAAGTTCACCGACTGATTCTATTTTGCTCAACAATGTCCTGCTTGAAGCTGCAGAGAGGGAGCCACTTTTTAACACAAGAATACACTTAATTGGAGTCGCAACAATGGAGTCAGCCAGAGATAGAGAGGGAGAGAGCAATGTAAATCTCCCTTATGAATCAATGTACCTTAATTATGACATAAATTCATTCGTAAGCTCATTTTAAATCAGAAATTTAAATAGAAGGCCAGTAACAACAAGCGGGGGACACTAGCAGCGCAGAAATACTTCAGAGTTCGTCTAAACTTCACGTATTTCCTTAAATATTTTAAGAATGGTGCAGGGAGATCATGAAGAGCATTGTTAAACCAACATTAGGCAGAGAAAACCCCCAGGGTAGATAGGGAGATTGCTTAATTGGGATGCAATAATCAACATAAATGACCAGCAGATGCGAAGAATGGATTCCTACCTAGTTTGGGGCTCCACAGATGCTAGATGTATTACCAGTCAAAGCTATCCTGGAATTATTTCAGGAAGCAACTGCCCATGTCATGTAAACAGATCTCCCTAATAGACCCATATCTCCATTAAACTCCAGTGCTTAGCATAAACTAATCCTGAATGAGGCCTTCCTTTCTCATTTTCTAGAATAAATATTAAACTCTCTCGACTTGTCCCAGTCTCAGGTATCCATAAACCAAAACAGAATATTTCACCACAACAGGAGAAAAATTCCGTTTTCTCATATTAAAGCTTCATCCACGAGACCCCCTTAACTTGCCAAAGCACCTCAATTGAAAAATATGATTGATAAATGAAGGAATTTTTCTCCAAACCTTGAGCTTTACAATATATACCCCCAATTTTACAGACTTACAGTAGCCAGCAATAATCGGTGTGTGAAAGTTCTTATAAGGATCCAGATGTTTTAACCATCCGCCCAATCATGAGGCATCTGAGGATTGTGTAGGTAATTGCATCTGGAGTAAATTAAACTTAATCATTGTCCTAAGCCACATGAAAACATTATGCACTTTTGCCTGCCTGACGAAAACATGTATGAGAGTGCCATAAACTTGATATCCTTTCCTTTTTTAGCAACAATGCACATTTTGCAGTTTTCCTTGCACAGCCTTATGTATAATTTTTCAGCAACTAAAAATGTTGGGCAAGCTCCATAGCTTTCCTGGCATCCCTTTCCTCACTAATCAGGATGTCATAAGCATGCTTGTCATATTTGTATCCAAGATTCGAAAACTTAGGAAAAACTGAAAAGGTGAACTGAGAGGTAGCAAGAGATAGTTATTGCGTATCCTCAAACCTCATTGTCTTTGCAATTCTCCAATTTGAGGACTTAAGACTACTACTCAACAAGGGAAAGCAACTCTCCACTTCCAAGGCATCAATGGAAAATGTGCCTCTCAAAAACCAAGCTAACTCATTTTCAATTCCAACTATCTCAATCAGCAAATGGTAGCAAATTTGGCTTGATCCAGAATCAGAGTCTTCAAAAGCCAAAGTGAAGCTATACTAAAAAACAGTTCAATTACAATAAGCCCGAAGAAATGCAGTCAATTCAAAATCTTTTAAGAATATAAGCACATACCCATGAAGTTCAAGAATTATATTATTCAATCCTGCAGGATGTCAAGAAATGACTGGCTCACAGTAGATACTCTCACCATAACCAGAACTAGATCCAAAAACCCAAGAAAGGAAAAGAAGAAAATCAAAGAAAAGAACAAGAACCCAATGCCGTACCTGGAGTGGAGGTGGTGGAAACCTCAATTTTGGAGAGCAAATCTTGAAGAAATCAGAAAGTGCCGACTAAATGAGGTACATGTATATATGTTTAGGCGATGAAGCCCTTTGGGAGTTTTGAAGTTTTCGATTCTGCCATTGGGGGTCAGAATCGAAAAAGTTTGGAAAAGATAATCTATCAGCACCATTTGTGCTCGGAAATCAAGCAGTTTCGCATGATCTTTGTGTTCTCAGGAACTTTATGCTTCGAAGGAAGAAGGGTTTTACAATTTCAAATTCTCACGATTGCCTGTAATTTTCAGTAACGACTAGTCCTAAATTGTAAATTTGGTTCAAAGAATAAGATCAGATAAATATAGGAGCACAATAACAAAAAACGTTCTCCCTACCGAGATGATTGTTCAATTGGAAAAATAAAATAAATATTTATAAATGAAAATTCAAATTGGACAATAATTTCGAAAAGAAGAGAGTAATCTTTATTAACAAGGCTGTAGATGAAGTATGGATCGTAATCAGGTCGTTTTTCCATGTGGGCGGATATTAAAATTTTGCATTCTAATTGTTTTTAGTCTTTACAAGATGGTTCAGTTTCCTAACACATTTTTATGAGTTTCAATTTTTGTTTCCGGATTGTATTACTCATAAAAATAACGAGTGATCTTTGAATGATGCCAAAATTTGAAGTAAATATGAAATAATACAAGTAGCCAAAAAACTGATTCCTTAGAAAGCAGTGAATTGCTTCATTAATGAATGGTTAATGTTGGAAGCAACTTGAGACAGTTTGGAACCTTGATCAACAGCTTACTTCATGGAAAGATGCATCTGTGATGCAAACAGTACTTAATCACCAATAACTTCCCAATTGTTAAGGAATATATAGTCAGTTGCTGTTTTCAAATGAAAACATTGAGATGTTTACTCAATTATAACATTTGTGTCTAGACCAATTATACATGTTCAGAATCAGAAGCGATTCAGAAAATTTCCTCCCCTAAAGTTTGATGTTCAGCATCTTACTGAGAGGTTGGTAAGTTCTTGCTTCGCGATTATATCTGTAAATATCGGCATCTTTAGAACTCGAGGCTTCAACAATCTCTTTCGAAACTGATGCCTCTTGCAATGCTGCTAATGCAGCCTTCCTCCTTGCCTTTTGTTCTTTCCACTTCTTTATCTGTTCCTCTAGTTCTGCTTTGCCCCTCTCCGCGACCTCAGCTCTGCTTATTGCCTGTTCTGCTCGCGCCCTGAATTCCGCTATTTTGGTTCTTGCATTCTCCAGCTCTTTCTTCAACTTGCTTGACTCAGTGATGACAGTTTCCTGTCCTGGCTTCTGAACTTTGTCAGACTCTTGGGATTTCATGACCAGCATTTCATATTCTTCCTTCGAAATTGTGACCAGGGCATTGGAGTTCCTTTTTTCAGCCTCAAAAGAATGACTGGAATCAAATTCTGCTGCATTTTCCTTCTGTCTAGCCTCAGTTATCTCAATTCTTGCTTTCTCTAATTCTGCTCCCATTTCTTCTTCATTCCGAAGCAGCATATCCTTCTCTTGGTTCACGTTAGCGAGCTCCAGCTTCAGCTTCTTGATCTCAGCCTCCAGTAAGCTAATGCAAGCAGCCTGATCAGAGTTCTGTTTTTCTTTCACTTCAAAATCTGCTTTCAGTTGATTCAATTCACTAAGGGCATCAAATGCAACTTTTTCTGAGGATTCGTGAAGGGAATTCGCTTTCTGAAGTTCTTTTTCGAGTTTATCAACATATGCAGACTTGTGTAACAGCTGGTTCTCTAATTGTTCCACCAACTCAAGTTGTTCTGTCACAAATTTCAGCTGTTCATGCATTTCGCTCGCCGCTGCTTCTGCCACTTTTAGTTGCATCTCTTTTTCAATAATGCTGGCATTCTTTTCCTCTTCTTCCTCCTCAGCCGTCTTCTTGAGATTCACAACTGTTTCGTTTAGCTCTTCAACTTGTTTCTGAAGCTCCTCAGTCTTTAACTTCTCTAAGCTTAAGGAAGTTTCCATTAGTTCAACCTTTTTCGTGGACTCAAATTTGGCATCTTTTGAAGCTGAAAGTTCTATATCCAATTGAAGAAGTTGTCCCTGTGTATCCTTCAACTCTCTCAAAACATGGGAAAGCTGTTCGCGTAAATTTGTACTCTCGGATAACTGATTAGACATCTTCTCAATGGTGGATTCCAGTTCGACAACACGGGTCCTGGATTCCTTGCCATTGTTTATGAGCGCATCTTTTTCGATCTCAGAATTCTTCAGCAGAGCAGAAAGCTCATCTGCTGTTTTCTGATAGTGATCAAGCTTTAGAAGGGCTTGCTTGTGTGCAGAATCCTTTGCCTCCATTTGAACTTTCAAATTCGCCAACTCTTTCATTAGGCTCTCAATCTCTTTTTCTTTATCCAACTCCTGCAACATCAAGAGATGACAGTCATCAAAATCATAGACAAATGATCACAATAAAAACTCACGATTAGCGGCGCCATTAAGAATTTTTTTTTTTTTCATTCATTTCAGACAACCATATTTCGACAATGAACTGAAGCAAACTAGCAAATTCATTTTCCACTATCTTGATGTAAGAACTTGGAGCTTGAACTGACCATATCTTTTGCATCTTTGCAGATTGACCTGAGTTTCTTATGGTCATCTTTCTCTCCGAAGAAAGTAATCGCAGCTTGAACTGATTCAATGGATGTTGTGTCAATCTCTGCCATTTTCGAGTCCTTCACAGATTTCTGCTGCTCAGGGCTCGGAGTCCTGAAAATTAACATCATTTCAACAAAAGAAGGCAAAATTTTCAATGCAGCACTTGAAATAACAATGTTGTTAGGGAAAAAAAAAAAAAAAACAATGTCCTTTGGAACAAGAAAAGACAAAAACTCAGGTGAATTGTTTTACAGAGAGAGAAGTGGAAGAACCTGTTAATGTAATGACTAATGAGAGATGATCCAACAACTGGAAATCCACAGTTTAGCTGATGGATTAAAGCTAATGAACAAAACCTTGTTCTTGTAGATTAGTGGGATCGATTTGCCGACTTTTTGTTTGCATAAAAATATATATATATATATATATATATATATATATATATATATTCCAGAAATATTCGTGCTGTTATCAAGGCATTATATCACTCCGGGGATCACAACAACAAGGTCTTTGTGGTAATCGCCTAAGAAACAACTTATGCATTCTTTGTTCTTCCCAGACAGCCGATTTATCTGTCATCTTCTTGTTAATCACCAAGATATTATTGAGATTGATAAGTAATTTCGGGATGCATCAAATTAATTCAATACAAATGTAGTAAAATGAAGCTGATACTTCCGTAAATTCTCGACCCAAAAAAATATTACTCCCTCCGTCCCAAAATTATTGTCTAGTTTGTATTTTCATATTTAGTATACAATTTGAATTAGAAATAAATATCCAAACTGGACAATAATTTACGAGAGAGTATTAGGAAGTCCTCCGATTCTATTTATAAAGCATAATTTGACAAACTTGAGGAAAGCAGCTATTAGCTGCTGAAATATCTTCATTACCCCTGACGGCTACTAACGATCCGAAAAGTTAACGCGCGACAACAAATTTGAAAATACACCATTCATTGGTACCAAAATCAGCAGCAAATCATGGCTTCTAAGCAAATCTTAGATCTGAATTTTCCTTACACAAGCTCAGATATTGGAGATATCGGAGATGCGGACAAGGAACGAATTCTTTCAAAGGAAGCATACACTCAATTGCCTGATCTTAATCTCATCGCGGAAGATTTAAACACTCAAGTATATTAATCTCGTTGCAGACAAAGGTTTGCATTCTGCCATTTTTTTTTATGGGAGTAAATGAGAACAGCAAAGTGATGTTTCTTTTTTTCTGAAGTTTTTTTTGATATTCTTTTTCTTTGGGTTCAATTTTGATTTCAGTCAGGCAATATTTTTTTTTTTTTTTTGTCAATAGCGACATACGATAAAATGGTGGAAGAAAAAGGACTGCTAATTTTGACGATAACTTGTTTGATGAAATGTCAAACTGAAAATCCTTCTTAATTACTGATTGAGTTGGCATTACTCCTTAAGTTTACCATTAAGAATAAGAGTTCATCTCGACATTTCGTAAAATATTTTAACTACATTTAAAGAATGTACTGTATTGGAGACAAACAATGATTCAAAATCATGCGCTAAAACAAATTAAACAATGAATCAGTGGTCGAACTGTAAAATGAATTACATACCTGTACCCGAGAAATTGACAAGTTAGACAAATGAACTGCAAAGGCGAATTTTGCTGCGGATTGTTTAGCCGGAACTAGGCTGGACAACCCACTGGAGAGAAGTGCTTTCATAGCTTCGTCATGAAATAGTCCAGATTGCTAATCTCCATGATGTAATCACATAGTGATTTTCGGCTCTTGCATGCTTTTTGTTTTCTTGAACCTAAAAATAAGGATCATCACCTGTGTAGCAAAAGGTAACGGAATTTTCAACGCATTTACCCAATTAACACAGATATTGAAAGAATCATCGTTACAAATACATAAAATTGCTATAATTTCTGTCATTGATGAAAAAAGAATGAAAAAAACAAACACCCCCTTTTTTTTTTTAAATGAGTAAAACAATTGTGCTGCTTCTGAAACTCTGTAGTCTGTACTCCGTATTGTGATCACAATTCAGCATCGAGGCAATTGCTCCCCTTCTACTGTGGCAATTCTGTGTCATCATCAACCCTATTTAGGTTCAAAGTCTACAAATTCACACTGAACATTTCAAAGTGTTCGTGTTGAATATGTAAGAACTAAAATGAATGTAGTAGTAGTGTAAAGGTGACAGATAATATGTGAAAGTAGAAACCAGAGGGAAAGAACAGAGAGTTCAGAATGGAATGACAGACCAGATATAATCATTCGGCATCCCGGATTGTGACAGTCGGGGTTCCATATTCTTCCCCGTATCCTCGTGCCGATTTCTCTACTGATTGGCAACAACACTGCAACTCAATTGACCTCAGGGCACTGAATTCCCCAGTTGTAAGGGGATCCCGACAAGCCACATGCATTGCCTTACAACTAGACGCTCAAGACATGGGAAGTGGTCATCATCACCTCTAATTTTCCACAACTTCAAATCCATGTTGTCAAGAAGTAAATGTTTAAGACAAGTAAAAATCTGATCATCAGTCAGCACCCACTCTGATCCTTTGAATGCCCAATCTTTCAGCTTCAATGTCTCAAGATTGAGTAACTTGGAGAGAAACTTCATGTCGTCCCACGATAAGTGACTTCCACTCAAAGTTAGTTTTTTCAGACCAATTGGCAAATGGTAGAGATTCAAAGCTCTTGGTCTCTTATACCCCGTACAAAAGTAACATTTTATTACATCTAGTTTATGCAAACCGGATAGGTTTCGAGAGTTTAATTAATACTGCAAGATCTTTCAACAAAAGAAAAGCAAGAAAAGGAAACTAAACTTCTACGGGCAGGATCTTTCAACACATCTTCCGGCTCCACTTTGCTGTCAACAAAACCCTCAGCCACCCATATATAGCCTAACCTTTCTACCTCAGTCTCACAGTATGAAGAAAAAGCCCCACCCATAAGAAGGAAGCAGGCTTTCAGGTGATGTGGTAAATAATAGTAACTTAAACCAATTATGTCCAAACATGACTCTGGGTTAGCAGAGATCATTGTAGTCATGTTAAGGTTAACACTGAGCCAGGAGTTGTACGACCTCGGCATGTTGAGGAGAATGCCGGCAACAATAACAATTGTCAATGGTAGTCCTTCACATTTTTTAGCTATTTGTTTTCCTATCTCTACCAATTCAGTAGGGCAACTTTGTTCCAGGAACAACCTTTTCTCCAGGAGTTCCCAACATTGATTTTCATTTAAAGTGCTCATACGAAAACAATGATAGTTCGTACCTGTGTTGGTGGGATATTGCATCTCCTCGCGACTTGTTATCAGTATTCTGACTCCCTATGTTATCATCTGGAAGAAATCCCCGAACATCTGCCCAAGCCTCAAAATCCCATAAACCATAAAAAACTAATAGATACTTTCTCCCCTCCCCCTCTTAAACTTTTCCACAAGTGTTCTCCTTTATGTTGAATGGTTTCTCTATGAATAGCATCATCATGCACTCCAATGCAGTTCACAAGATGGGACAAAGTTTGACCCATCCCACAGGAGCAAAATTAGGGGCATTAGTCACTGTTGGTAAATGTTTCTGGCAAGAGTCGTTTTACCAATGCGCCCCTCCCTACAATTGTGAGAATTGCCAGTCCAGATGATGGACCAATAAGCACATCGATAACTCCCTGAATGTAGTCATCAATTCCCACCACAATATCCTCCGGTTGTATTGACAAATTCCCTAAAATCCCTGTTTTGGAAATACTATCCGTCTCTCCCTGGAGAGAAGATTCCTCCTTATAAGTGTGGGACAGCAATTGGTCAAAGTTTTTGTGCAAGCCATCCATTGTGGATCTCTAAAATCTGGAAGATTCCTCCTCTAAAGATTCAGACATCAATTGATCAAAGTCGTTCGTCAGACCATCATCAAGACGGTTTCCTAGAAAATCTTCAATAGGGTCTGCAGCTTCATCAGCAACAACTTTTATGTGATTTATCAGTTCAGTGTCATTAGGGTACTTGAGTTTTGGGAGCAAATCATCATTCACTCTGTGACAGAGAGAAATGGTTGCTTTTACTTGTAGGCAGGAAGTGGTTATCTTCTGACAAGTGGAAAGCAGATCATTTAATGATTTCTGTGGTAAGCCATCTGGCGAATCCTCAAAGAAACCATCATGTAATTCACAATGGTCAGGAATCCTGATAGTATCCTGATCAGAGATGACACATTCATGAATGAAATCTTCCAATCTAGAGTTGAGTACATTGAGTTCATTCAGTACCAAAGCGATATCCCGGTTATTGAAGAATTTGAAGCTATGACGTTCCCCTTCCCCTTGAAGACTTTTCATGAATTCTACTACATCCGGTGGAACATCTTGTAGTTACTTCCATTGAAACAACAACTTGAACCTCCATCTCCATGGATCTTTTATGTATCGAGTCGAGATTTTTAAAAAAATTTTCCATTTCATCAGGGGAAACATTTTGAGTCCTTGCAAAATTCAAGTACTCAACACAAAATTTGCTTGGGCAAGGAACTCCGATGCCCTATATGTTCCAAAGTACATCGAATCCAAAAATTCCTCGGACAACAGGTTCTTTAGATGTAGGTGCAGCATGAGCCATCTTAGAATATTCATTCCCCCTCGAAATTTATATCTGATAATGGAAGGAGACCTATAGAATCCCAGTAAGTTTAATTAGTTACAAGAATCTACGCATTCAGCTGGGGAAAACAAACTATGTAATTCATGAAATGACTGCTGACAAAGTTAATTCAGACTAAGGTCTAAGAGAGATTCGTTCAAAATCAACAATACTTACCCGTTGTACCATAGATCCATGAAGCGGAATCAGGATGAACTAGCAGAAGAAAATTTGTAATCGAGAATATGAGATGGGTTTGAAGAAAATTGGGTTGTTAACAAGCCAGCGATGTTAAACCGATCAAGAGAGATCCCAATGGCAACGCTTTAAGACACTCATCAGCACGGTGTAAACATTGGTCCCACTCTAAAACCTTTATATATCTTACTATATTAGAAACAAAAACCACACTCAAGAGAAAGCACCACCATTTGCCATGTGCCATTTTTACATCATAATTTTAAAATAAATTTTTATTTACACATTAGTTTTCTAGAAACAAAAACATTATGGTCAAGAGATCAAGACCTTTTTCAAGACGACTGGATCCCTGCGTGCTCTAATCTTCTAAGAGATCAAGACCTTTTTCAAGACTTGTTGCCAATAAAGGTCAGGGAGTTACTTGATCAAAATTATGGATGGAGGGAAGATCTAGTCAGATGCTGGTTTCCTCAAGAAACAGCTACAGCTATTATGATCACCTACATTCCCTTGAATCCGCTTCAAGGCGCAGATTCGTTGTTTTGGGAGAAAGACAAAACTGGAGAATATACAGTTAAGTCAGGTTATTTTGAAGCCATTAATTACAGAGATGTACAGAGAACGACTCCCTTAACTTCAGCGACTATGAATCTAACAGAAACAGCTTGGAAAAGGTTTTGAAGTGTTAAAGTGCCTGAAAAAATTCAATGGTTTATTTGGCGAGCTGCCAATAACGCTCTCCCAACAAAGATAGGCCTACACAGGAGAAGAATTATCTCGGAAGTTGTATGTCCGCGTTGCCAACACGAAGATGAGTCTACCTCACACCACCTGCTAAAATGCCCGCTGTCGATGATGGTTTGGAGATGTTCTTCTTTGGGTTTTGACTTCGCACAAGGAAACGATGGAAGTTTTTGTGACTGGCTGAATGAATGGCTTATCCAGGCTCCTGATAACGAGGTGATTCAAAAATATTTTTATATAATGTGGTCAATATGGATGGATAGAAACAATCTAATTTGGGATAACAAGAGCCAACACCCTTGAGAAATTCAACAGAAGGCAGAGAAAGAGTGTCTTTATTTCATTGAGTGTGTGGAGAATTGCTATAAGAAACCGGAAGAGAGAAATCTAGCAAGAAATGAAATATACCAATTACAGTCTTTGGGTGAAGCGCAATCTCAATATGATTTCATAGTTAGAGTCGACAGAGCTTTTCAAGACCCACAGAAAAAAGGAGCCGCAACATGGAAATCTTAACAGCAACAGGAACTTATGTAGCACACGATTATCGAACTTTCTACTCATCTTCCCCGATCATGATAGAAGCGAGGGCGTGTCTAATGGGTTTGCAAGCATGCATCAACTAAGGTATAACTTCATGTCAAGTGCAGACTGACAGCGAGATCATAGCAGATGCTATAGAAAAGGGCGGAAAGGCTCCTTACCATGTTAATGGCCTTCTCAAAGACATCAAGACTCTTTCTCAAATGATCCCATATTGTAATTTCACAAAAATTGGTAGGTTTATTGTTGAAAATGTTCACAAAATGGCTATGGCCTCTATAACTGGGGGCTTAAACTTGTAAACATTTTCTCAAATTAATGTATGAAGTAACTTAAAAAAAAAATTTATATGTTGCACATTTTGGGCTCATTAATAAGAGCCCAAATTCCATGTTGAATTGCATTTGACATACATGCTAGAACGGAAAGAAGTTTTAAAGTTATAACATTGATAAAAAAAAATCTATGTGAATAATCAGATTTTAGGTTCTTTGATGAATAATATCATTATCATATATATACATATAAGTATATTATATATGAAAAATTCTACGATCTAGTCATTAGAGTTTTATTGAATTATTAAGTTAAATCTATCCAATTAAAATAAGACACATGAAATATGACTATAAAGCGAGAAGTAGGTGAGCAAAACCATAATTCAAGGCAACCGGCTAGATAGGTAATTCACCTAGATAAACACTAAATTAACCAGTCTTTTTTTTTCTATAGCATTTTAACGATCAAGATTGAAATACCGCAAAGGAAAAAAGTTTCGAACTATCTTTTTGTGAGGGACTAAATGTAGCCCACTTAATCCTTAAAGGAGCCCACTTTATAACTATTTTGTCCTTTTTCGTTATTATTAATAAAAGAATCATCATTTTAAAATTTCATAAGTTTTAAATTAAAAAAATAATGAAATTGACATTAGCGGAATTGTTATTAAATTCAATAATTATTAAAATTAACTTGTATAATTTTATAGTTTACTTTACTTATTAAATAATAATAGATAACATTAAACAAACTAAATTAATTATAAAAACCAAAACAAATTAACTTTACCCAAAAAAAATTTATTGCACATTACATCAAGTAATAAAAAAAAATATAATTAACCGCATAAATAAAATAAATAATTGCATAAAATGTAATTTTTTTTAAAAAAAAAAGTGAAGATAAAACAAATAATTACATTAAATTTGAAAAAAAAAATAAAAACAGAGTGAAGGTCACACCCTCACTATGCTAACGGCCGGCGACGCCGCGCCGTACCTACCCGCTGCAGGCAGCCCAACGGGAGACCCGCGCTGAGAGGACGGGCAGCCAGTTGGCCGCTCATCTTCTAAGTGTGGGTCACCGTCGGGCTGCCCACGATCGGTAGGCACTGCGCCACCGGCGGTTCGCGCAGTAAGAGCGTGACCTTCACTCTTTTTTTATATTTATTTTTTTTTCAAATATGATGAATAGATATAATAATAAAATTTTAAAAAATATTTGCGGTAGCAAGATTTTTCCTTCTCTTGTGGGGGGATTTGCTATGATTTCTTCAAAGAAATACTTAAAGAGTTGAATATTAATGAAAATTAGAAGGTTGTAAATTTTAAAATAATAAAGAGAGATTAATTTTTATACTTGTTCAAATAAGGGTAAAATCGTAAAAAATTGAGCTTCACTAGCATTAAGTGGACTACGCTTAGCATTACCCATCTTTTTCCACATCTTTTTCTAATAATTTTTTTTTTTTTTTTTTTTTAAAAAAAAGCCATACAACCATGAACGAGGAACGAATTAATTATTTCCGATCAACAAAGTACAAAGACTTGTAAAGTAAAACAAATTCCCAACTCAATGTTATTTTCCCTTCACAGATAAACACATTTGGTGGCATAACATTTATCTCAAACTTGTAAGGATACAAAAAATTTCCCTTCATTAACTAATTTATTTAATGAGATGAACTAGTGGATTGATTAATTTGATGGATTGAATCCGTAGTTCGAACTTGAGCTCACATCAGATTGAACATAAAACTTGAGTAGCCCGAAGCCAAGCAACTCGAAGTCGAATCACCTAAACATGATTACAACATTTTGAGTCTACCCGTTTTGTCCTCAAGCTCATAATTTGAAAATTTCAAGTCAAAATTCTGTTTGAATAAATGTGTATTACCCGTTTAGAGTATTATGAACTTGTGACCTCAAATAAATGTGTTTTTGTTAGAACCATTAGAGTTTAACTGGCTTGGACTAAATTATAGAGCCTTAACAAGTTTGTTGTGATTCATATTGACGATAGTTTTTACTCATGAGAGACTATCTTATTGGCAATATAAACTTTCCGATAAACACTGGTTTTGATTATAAGTGATGTGTTTTCTTAGAAGTTTGCCATCTTTTTAATGACCAAAAAAGTTCATAATCACTGGTTTTTGTCACTTGCAAAATCCTTCACAATATTAAGGTCTTCTTTAAAAAAAAAAAAAAAAAGGAACTTCATTAAAGTTAGAGGAAATGATCCACTGCCAAATAGATGAGCTCGAAGCTTCTCTTTAAGAGGTACTAATTACATCAGACAACATACCAAGTTGGCTAAGGCATACAAAGATTTTCCAACATAAACCCTGGCAAATAATTGCAAATTCGTAAAATATCATCCAAAATAGGAGCGTATATTATTACTCCATCTGTCCCAAAAATTATTGTCCAATTTAAGATTTTACTTTTAGTATAATTTAAACTAGAATTGAAAACCCAAACTGGACAATAATTATGGGACGGAGGGAGTATAAAGCATCACCTTCTCCATTTTCCACTAGATTCACGAATGCATCCTCGCCTTAAAAGCTTGAACTACTACATTCATGATATTTAACTTTTGAGTTTTGATACAAATACACAATATCATAGAGTAGCCAATATCCGAACCCCTAATTCCTCCTAATCCTACTGCATCATAGAAATATTTGGTCGCTGCTGCTAGCATGAGGGAGTCATAGCCAGAAGCAGTCCTGCAAACAAATCCCACTTCCGACCAACAATTTTTCCATTGTCAAATTAATAGCTCTGCTGGAATTGGTGATCTTGGATTAATAGAACTGGCCTATTTGTCTAATTATCCCACCAAAATCTAATCAAACGACTATTCCCGATAGAATACTGGATAGCAGTGTAGATAGAACACTCCACTCCTTACTAAATCCTCGTCGAGATCACTGACCCTCTTGCAAATTGAAAATCTGATTACATGTACATGAACATTGAGTTTGTACTTCGTGACGAGAACTCTTACCAGAGAGTGTTTCCATCATTATATGAATAATGTCTCGTTCATCTTTAAAATTGACATTAATTAAATGCTCCCCTTCTGAATTTTATGATAAATCCATCGACAGAAACCGATCAAATTTTGAAGAAAGAGAAAAAGGGAAAAAAAAAAAAGGTGATGCAATCGGCTGTGTAGGTTATTAGTCATCAGAGAATTATATGGTGTTTGAAACTCTATTTTCTTTTATGATGTGTCTTTCTTAATCTAATGGTCACAATTAATTTGATCTCATAGCTGTTATTATGTGACTGAATCGTTGAGTCGACTGAACTGTATTATGGCTGTTATAGGGAGTGACTATATATATGGTCCAGTTGACTGAACAGTTCAATTATTATTAGAAGTCGTTAAATCAATTAGGAACAATAACAACCCTTAGTTTAAAAATAAGGTGTTTTGAAAAGAAATAATACCCATCACACCTGATCATTACAAATTAATCGTGCAACTTATTGAATCAAGCCATTAGCAGGTTAAAAAAAAAAGAAGTAAATCTCAATGATAAGCACAAAACCTTATCAACGGCGACATCAAGACCACAAATGTCATCAACTGAATCTCATAATTCTGATCTTCAATGTAAACGATCACAGTTCTACTTCGTCAATAAAAATCATAGGCTCATACAACTTAATCAAGAAGTATATATAGCGGACCCTAAGCGGTAATGGGTATTTTGCAAATTTCATCTGAATTTGTGCTCTTCTGGAATTAAATGAAGTTATTTTTTCCTCTCAGACTCACTACGGTGGAAGTTGGTTTCGTACTGGTGTGTATTCAAGTGGAGGTTAATTTGTCAAGATTCCAAGAACAAAAATTGAAACTCTCAGCAAATATTGTCCTGTTTCTGATTTTTGAACAATGGCGTACTTGGGAAATTTTCTTTTACTGGTGTTTTCTTTTTCCTCCTTTGAGTCGTCCACTATTCGTTATAGGAATGGATTCATTATGATTGTGATATTAAAGAAAATACTATCTAATATTTAGATAATGATAAAATCTTTTGTTGGCTTATGACCTCTTGACCGTTGCAAATTGAAAGCTGTTTTCATGGACTCAGTTGCATTTGAAGTACTACGTGAGTCCTGATATTGTCTGTGAATCTCTGATTCTTATGGACTTAATTGCTCAATGAATCAATTATGTCAACTTCCCTTTATTGGATTAAGTACTTATACTTTGTGTTTTTTGCTTCGACTGCATCTTAAAAGTACTGAAAATGATTCTAGTGCAACTAGTCTTGTTCTGATGCATCTGTTTCTTTTGTCTCTTTTTTTTTTTTTTGGAAACACCGGTTCTGATGTCCTTTTTGGCTTTTCGGAGTAAGCTAGATAAATCAAAAGACATAGATGGCTTAAATTGATGAATCAAGGCCACAGTATAAAGAGCCAAATCAACAGCAAAAGGAAATGTGTCATCGAATGATGAAAATATTGATCCCAGCCATTTTGTCAGTAATCAATTTATTTTGAGAAAGAAAATCAGTTTACAATGTGTTTTATCTAGCAACTATCTTTATTGAGATTAGATAAAATTAATCTTGGTAAAAAAAACATTACAAAAAAATAAAATATATAAAAGGTACAATATGGTAAATGACCAAATCGGCAGCTTAGGAAGTAATTTGGATTTAATATGGTGTTTCTCACTCCATGAACACATTTGTAGTCTTTAATTTTGATCGGATAAATTTTAACTGAATAATACAGTAAAAAATTATCAACTGGACCATAAAATTTTCCATATATATATATATACATATCTATATATATGATAAAAATATTATTCATATATATGATATTTTTTGAAATTGATACATAGCTTATCCTCAAATGTAATCAAATAAAAATTGGTTGCAACCCAAGTGTATTCTCTATATTTTGTACTCCCTCTGTCCCAAAATTATTGTTAACTTTTAGTACATTTTAAACTAAAAATAAAAACTCAAATTAGACAATAATTATGGGACGGAGGAAGTACTAAATTAGTTCGATAAGTATATGATAATACATTACGACCCCTACTATATTTTCATTCTAGATCCGTTAGTAGGTGTAAATATAATTTAAGTGCTCAAGAGTACCACAAGGGGTTGCCCAAGTGGTAGTGGACATGGCATAAAAAACTTGAGGTCACAAGAGGTCTCAGGTTCAAACCCTACCAAGAGTACTTTAAGTACTGCCTATGTAGGCTTGCAGCCAGAAGGCCAGAGGCAGTCTCGGAGGTCAGCTTGCAGTTCAGGAGGGCACGTAACAGACGTGTGCACGCGTAGAATTTCTCCCTAATAATAGTATCCCTTTCCTCCAATAGACTCCACAAATGTAATAGCCTAAAATACCTATATTTGTTATGGGAGCTAAATAACAAATGATTCATCATTTTATTTCTCTTGCATTAGACAGAAAGCCATATAAACATCGTTCCAAAATTCCAAATCAACTTAAGCATCATAAAGAAAGCTAGTATAAAACACAAGCGATTAGTAATCGTTCAATTTTTTTCTCCCCCTTTTACTACCAAGCGACTCCTCCCTTTAATAATACTAGTAACTTATATTATAATACCCCTACTATATCAGAAAAATTAATCTATTTTGTTGAATTTTAGGGGAAAACATTTTGAATCCGTCTTACTTTAAAGCAATTGGAAGAAATACTAAGAAATCATTATATTATATATATTAAAGGAAAGAAAGATAATCGACACGTGTCGCTAATTGAGACCATCAAGCATCACTTTTAACTTATTATCATTTTAGCCTTTAAAGTTCTATTTATGTGCTATTTTGTCTTCAATTTTATCGATTTTACATTTTCAAGGACGATTAATTGTGTCTAATTCCCAAAGTTCTCTTGCCTATAAATAAGCCATAGACATCTAGATATAATTTACGCATTTTTTAATATATTTTTTAATCCAAACATAACATTAGTTAATAGTGACAATTTTTATTATACAACTTTTTAAAATTTTTGTTATAATATTTTTGGCCAGATCTTACAAATATACATCTCATAAATAATATCAATACCTCTCATTTTGATTTAAAGTTGATTAATCAAAATTTTTTTACAGTTTTAAGAAATATTAATAACTATATTATCTAATTAATTCTTTGGGAAGATAAATTTTCAACATTGACAAACCCGCACAAAGCGCAGGACACATCTAGTATGATTAAAAAGATACTATACCGGATAGGTTGATTCCTTTTTGGGGACATGGCCTATAGAATTGAATTACTGCAAGATAAATTTTACCTGATAAAAAAACAGTGAGTTAATGGCTAATATTTTCTTAATTTTTGATTGAATTTTAAAGTTTTTGTTTTTTGTTCATGTGTGTGTGTGTGTGTGAAAATTCTGGAACTTCTTGTTGGAAGGAAAGTCCTTAAGCGTGCAGATTTCTTCTGTACGATGCTACTACTTGACTTCGGAGTTGAAGGAAGCCTTAAACATTTTCTAAATTTTTTATTGCCATTAATACTCCCCCGAAAATTCTCATTATAATTCTGTTTTTGTATCCTATCGATGTGAAACAAACTAAATTATACTCCCTCCGTCCCAAAATTATTGTCCAGTTTGAAATTTCACTTTTAGTACTGGACAATAATTTTGGGACAGAGTGAGTATTTTAAAATAAAAAAAAGAAATTAAAGCACGACAGAGTAAATATGTCAAAATTACTCTCGAAACTTCCCCCACCCATACTACAATTATTATGATCGCGGCTGCTGCTTAGTTACGTTAGTTTTTTTTGTTTCGCCAAGCTCCGTTTCGGCCTCCGCCGGCGCTTCATCGGTACTTGTTCCGCCTCTCCTTTTTTACCTAGAAAGTCAATTATATTATGCTCCGTTTCTTATTGCAATTCCACCACCTACGTTCGTTCTCAGTGCTCGAATTATTTGTGCTATGTGCTTGTTACTTTTAGTTCTGCGTTCCATTAACCTAAAATTCATATGTGAAACCGTTTGATTGGACAGATTTTGCTGAAAATTCGACTTTCTTATTTGTTTCTTTTGGAATGGAGGAGGGAGTATAGGTAGGGTTGCGTTTGCTTGGAGTTCAGAAAAAATACGGGAACGATGATATTAGCTTTGTACAGTGATATATTAGTTTTGTAGTATCCTTGGAACTTTTATTTGATTACAATGATTTTTGGAAGAGTAATGGCAGATTGTATTAGCTTTGCTTGATCGGATTTGAAAAAGTTGATGGTTTTATTTACCAAAAAAAAAAAGAGTTGAAGTTTGCATTCAGACGTTTGTTCTGTCCCTCATTTCAGTTTGGCTTCCCTCTGTCTTACATTGTTTAATGGCTCCAGATTCGTTTTCAGTCTACACACTTTTGGATTTTTTTTTGGCCAAATTCTCCATGCAAAATACTTGCTTCATCATACTTCCATTCATGATTCTGATTTTACTAGTCCGCCTTCTCTTATCCAACTTAGTTGGAGGCGTTTTTAATCGATTTTCTTGTGGTAGTTGTATAGCATGACCTTGTTAAGCTTCTTAGTTTTCCTAGCTTCAATGAAATGTTAAATTTGTCCTATTGGCTTTTATTTTCTAATACAGATTTTGGTGTGAAGAAGGAGATCAAGTATGGCCCTACAAGGATATGCCCTGACCTGTGGATCTGTTCCTATGCTGTCTTGCCGCAAGGCACCTTACCCCAAGGCACTTTCTTTACCATATTCGAGTCGACCTCTTCCTGCCAAGGTTTCATATCCAATCAATCAAAATTCCTGGCGGCCTTATCCGAAACTAGTAGCCCACTGTAAAGGTTTTGCATCTGTCCTTATATTTAAGCATGTGTTTTTGTTTCATGTATCATTAATTTATGAAAAATTTATTTGGTGCAATGATTTCTGTGAGCTGAATGTAGCTCCTTTGGCGTCATATTTTTCTGCTTTTTACAAGTAGAGTAATTTAGTGAGTACCATTTTTTGGATTCTTGCCTAGTTATTACATTTTAATAACTGGATGTCACACCCATCCATTTCCTTTGAGTGATAAACTATGTTGTGTTCTTTATGAATCGCATCGTCCGTTAGTCTTTCAGCTTTCTTATAATGCATGGTAAACTTGACTGTACTGTGTGAGTTCCAAAAATTGCAAAGTTTTCGCAACTAATGTAACCTCCCGTCAAACAATTTACATGCACATGTGCAACTTGGTCTTGTCCAACCCTTTAACTGTGCAGAGGGAAGGGGAGAATATCTTTGCACGGAAATTGTGGTTTACCCCCTGTTACTCACTTGGTGGTAAAGCATGTGGACAGTGTATTGGTAGCATTCTCGCTGCGATTTATTCTTTTACTTACGCCATCTGGTTATTTTTATTTGGAATGATACAAATTATTCATTTAGTGTGCAAAATTTAGCTTCTCGCCCTGTTTTGGCCCTTCTTCATTGAGGACTTCTAATTTTTATGGGCAGGTACTCGGACTCCCTGTCTTTCTTCTGCTTCCTCGCCACTTTTAAAAGGTGGGCTAGGTAGCCTTCCACATATTATTCCTAAGTTCACTAAGAAGCGCCAATCTAATCTGATTCCACGGGCATCAAAGGATGTTCCTTACAGCCACAGACGCGCTCCTACAACCGAGAAGCCTAAATGGTGGTGGAGAACATTAGCATGCCTCCCCTATATGTTGCCATTGCATGAGACATTGTTGTATGCTGAGACATCTTATCATATACATCCCTTTCTGGAGGATTTTGGGTATTTAACTTATCCATTTTTGGGAGTGCTAGCAAGACTGCCTAGTTGGTTTATGTTTGCATATTTCTTGGTGTCGCATCTTGGAATTGTAAGGAGGAAAGAGTGCCCCCATTTCTTCCGGTTCCACCTAGTGATGAGCATGCTGTTAGAGATGGCGCTGCAGGTGATTGGCAGCGTTAGCGGTTGGATGCCTCTTTCAGTGTACTGGGGTAAGTTGGGCATGTATTATTGGGCAGTGGTTGCATTTACCTTTCTCTTTACGGTCGTGGAGTGCGTAAGGTGTGCTCTCGCCGGGAAGTATGCTGATGTTCCATTTGTCTCTGATACGGCATACATTCAAATTCCATATCGTTAAGCAAAGCTTTATGCTGGTCGTCTTTGGCTGTGCTTCCATCAGTTATTGATGCGGCAGATTATCTATTTCCATTTGACTAAAGGTGGTCTTGGACTTTTTGGTTAATGTTCATATTTTGCCTGATAGAAACCTTAAAATTTGATGTGGAGTTTGGCTCTTTTGAATAAAACTGTATAGATGCCTTCCACCACATTGCAGTATGGTTTTGCCTTCTTTTGTCTTGCAAAGACAAATCCTTGAACTAGTACATTGTTAATTTAGCGTTGAAGCACAAATTCTAATATTTAGGGTGAGTAATTCTCTTACATATATAAGATAAATGTACGTTCTAAGAGTTCGGTCACAGTTTTGAAGAAGAAAATAATCTTTTCTCGAAAAATTAAGTGTAAGATTGCATATAAACATTTCTTGCATAACATTAAGATTTAATAACCTTAAAAAGACAGAAATTGTTCGTTGTATATAAAAGTGAGATAAGATATTTTGCGTTGAAACAAGAAAAACATATTGTACGTGGTAGCCTCTAATTAAGCAGAAGAACAAAAATAATTCACGTAACTAAATTCTGGACATGTGCATTCGCACGGATTTGACCAAAAATTTTAAAATAATTCACATAATTAGAATAGACAAATTTAATTTTAGAAAAAAGGACATTAATCTCCACTTCATAAAAAAAAAATTAGCACTTTCTTGATTTATAAAATTATTATCATGGAAACGGAGCAAGAACTGTACATAATATCTATGTTAAATATTGTTGTCAGGAGTTCTATAAGACAACCGAAGGGAAAAAAAGAAGTGCAGTAAAATTTTTCTCTCCAAGATTCATGCAGCATCATTGGAAAACTTGCCAAACAACCTAAAAGATTCTCTTTAATGTGATAAACCATCTTGAGGATTCATCCAGGCATTTCAGAGTCTCAATTGTCCCAAGTTCATCCAGGCATTGAGGAGGTATTTTTGCTCCTCTCCAAAAGTAGAATTACCATGAAATTTTTTTCTTAGCTTCCGAACATCCCCTGAACAAAAACAGCCTTCAGATACAACTAATTTGCATCGTTTTTGAGGTAGGCTTTAGGGTCTTGAAGCTATTGTCTCCCATTAATTATTCTACTTTTGAAGCAAAACCTCCGAAGGAGTGAAAGCACTAAAAGACGAAAATCAAAACTCACAACATCTTCCATTGCAGAAGCTTAATTCACAGCAACCGGTACAAAGGAAAATCATGAATTGATACTCCAAAAAAGAATAAAAATGGATCCAACTTAAGAAAAAATTACGACAAGTTACCAAAAAATTAAAAAAATCACAACTTCTTTCCCTAAGAATCAGATTAAATAATTCATGGTAATTCTGGAAAAAGATCCAGAAACAAAAATATCACAAACAGTACATTCAAGGAACGATAAATTATTAAGAGAAGTTTTTTTTTTTGTACCTTGATAAGGTTGATAGAATCTATCAATTTTTTTCCATAGCTATTGTTGGATTTGTTTTCTCCAACAATTTAGGACCTTACAAATTTTGTTCCAGCAAAGGAATTAAATTTGTTTTGCCGAAGTTTATGACGTCTCTCCGTTATGCTATAGTACGGGTACCAGGTCGCTGCCATCGCTGATTATCCATATCAGTTAGATCTGAATTGAAGAGAACGGTTGGACTTGAATTTTCTTTCGGAACAACTAAAATATTAGATATTACACTAAAAAATCTTAATACAAAGAGCCACAAAAAGAAAAAAAAATTAAATGGAACTAACCTCGTTGATGCTAATTGTTGTCCAAGGTCGCCACTTCCAACCAATCGAAGAAGAAGAAAGGACTGGCAAACCATAATGTATTTATATACTGAGAAACTTTTGCAACTATGTTTTAGAACTTAAACCTAAAACAAAGATTGTTTGAGAAAAAAATAAATCCAATTCGAAAACACAAAGCAAATAGATTTAATTTACTGGGATTTGAAGATACATGAATGAAGAATTTGAATTTGAGACATGGGAAGATTGATGTTTTTTTTAAAAAAAAGAAAAGATGAAGAGTTACTAAACGAAGTGGTTCTGGTTTTGCATGTCTAAAATTTAGGGGAAATATTGGTGAGTAGTTTTTTTCCCCCTAAAGACGTTTGTTCTTGGGACAAATTTTAAAGACACCATGACACTTGGAATTTTAAGGACACTATTCTAATACTTCCATTTTTTTTTTTACGTTTAAGAAATTAATTTTATTTTGGATAATGGTTTTATAATTTTGACAAATTTATGGTTTGACATAAATTAATTTTATTTTGGATAATGGTTTTATAATTTTGACAAATTTTTTTGATGCTTTGACATTTGAAATTTTGGGTTGAAATTCAAGTATAATTTGAAACTTGGAATTTTGGATTAAAAATGATTTTTGCTATAATGGAGTTTATAGATTGATTATTTACATTTGACCATAACAAATCTTTATTGGTTAATCTTAAAAAGGAAAAATTGGCTGATCCACCCAATGGTTGATATGTGTTGTCAATTCTACCATATTCTTTTTCGATTAGCCAATATTACCCTAAGCTATCCATCCATTAGTCGATTTTGTCCAGTTGGCTGATTTCCGTTTAAATTAACGGAATTCCATTAGTTTTAATTACAAAGATACCCTAATAATTTTGAAAATTATAAAAACGACCTTAAAAATTTGTAAAAATAACCAAACAGTCTTTTTACACTTTTTATTTAATTTTTTCTGTTTTTTATTTATTTTTATTATTTCTCATAACTATAAAAATATATTATATGATCTTTTAGAAAAAAAACTATTTATTTTTAAAGACTACTGTGCAAATTTATAGGTATGTATATAGGTACTCATGGTTGATTTACATAAACATATTAATTTTTTAATAATATAACTATAATGATATTAATTTTTTTAATCCTTTTTTCAATTTAAAGAATAATATCTTTTGACTAAAAATCATTTTTTTACAAAAAAGTAAAACATTTAGCATAGATTAAAAATTAATACATTAGTACATTTTAATTTATTACAAATTGAATAAACAAACTATAGATTGTATTATCCAATTCAAAAAATTACTAAACTAAAATATAGTGTACAATCTATTTTTTTAGGGTGTTGAGATTCATGATAGTAGATATAAGATTAATTCTCACCAAGGATTTTAAACCGGGAGAGTGATTTTATCAACATTTATGCATGATTTACTAAAGGTGAGAGGGTTGATTTGGATGGCCAGGCGATTTAAGAAGGGAGATGATTATTACTGTGTTCGAGGCTCAATTCTCACTGGGGCGATCTTTTTTTTTTTTTTAAAGGTGGAGTCAACTACTGGAGCAGTTTTTTTTATTATTATTAAAAAAAATTTCCTGCTAAAGTTAGATGTTAATATCTCAAAAAAATTATCACAAAATGTTAAACACTCGCAATGATAAATATACATATTATTTATAAAATATTTTGTACCATTTTTTTTTACTTTCTGTTTGTACTTGGTCTTTTAAAGAAAATGTATATTTTAGTTTAATTATTTTTCTAATTTTACAATACAATCTAAATTCTGTTGAATTATATTGTAATAATACATTACATTAAACCAATAAAAAAATTTAATCTATGCTAAAAGTTTTATTTTTTGTGCAAAATTAGGTTTAGTTAAAAAATCTTATTTTTTAGATTGAAAAAAATAGATTAAAAAAATAATATCATTACTGTTAAACCATATTATTAAAAAATTAATATATTTATGTAAATCAACCATGAATTATGAATATGCATATCTATAAATTTGCACAATAGTGTTTTAAAAATAAATATTTTTTTTTACAAAAGGTTATATAATATATTTTTATAGTTATGAGAAATAGTGAAAAGAAATAGAAAATAGGAAAATTTAAATAAAAAGTGAAAAAGACTGTTTGGTTATTTTTACAAATTTTTATGGTCATTTTTATAATTTTTAAAATTATTAGGATATTTTTTGTAATTAAAACTAACGGAATTCCGTTAATTTAAACGGAAATTGGCCAATTGGACAAAATCGGCTAACGATTGGATAGATTAGGGTAATATTGACTAATCGAAAAAGAATAGCATAGAGTGGACAACGTATATCAACCTTTGGATAGATCGGCTAAGTTTTCCATCTTAAAAATATGTATTTTGTTGTTTATATCTTACAAAATAATCCATTTGTTTTAAAAACAAAATTCATTGTTCATATTTGATCAAAAACGGATCTTTATTGTTTAATCCTGAGAAATATCTTCTTCTTTTTTCCCCCCTCTCAATATCTTAAACAATAATCCACATTTTTAAAAAATAATCCACCTATAAATTTTAAAACTAGAAATGGATTATTGTTTTTGGAATATATTTATTGTTCTTGGTGGCTTATAGCCTTATAGTTTTTGACGCTTTGGATCTATGCATTTTTCTTTATTTGGGTGAATCATTCCAAAAATTGAAGAGCACATTTATGACTTTATTTAGGCTTTATTACTGTGATGATGATTTTAATTATTAATCAGAAAAAAATAATAATAAACTCACACATGGAAAAAAAGTAAAAAAACCACTCTATATTTCTCTTATCTCTTTTAGTTTTTTTTTTTTTCTGTTCCCTTTCCATAATCCGCATACACAGTCCATTTCTCCTAGCTCCGTTCCGCCCTCCGCCGGCGCTTGGTCGGTACGTCCTCCGCCTCGTTCATATCTTCTCCGTTAATGCAATTCTACTTCATATCTTCTTCGTTCTCTGTGCTCTAATAATTTGAGCTATATCTTGTTATCTTCGTTTCGAAAATTGAATGTTCATTTTAACCTAAAATTCATCTCTGAGAGGACTTAATTTGACAGGCTTTGGTAGAATGTTTGCTTTCTTTTTGCTTATTTGGGGACGGGAAGGGCCTAGATAGGGCTGCGTTTGCCTAGACTGTATTCCCTTTGTCCCATTTTTATCATTTCCTGAGAACGCGTTTGTTTAATGATTCTCCCCCCAAAAAACCCGACTCCAGTAGAAGGATTTACCCCATTTTATAATTTTGTACAACCTCCTTTATATTTCAGAAAACTTACTTTTTAGAAGTAAAAAGGAAAGAGGAGGAGGAGGAAGGACTAAGGTAATTGGACACGTAGTCGCTGTTAAATTTGTATTGACAAAAGAATTGGAAGATTCTTGGAAGTTGGGAAATAAAGGGTTGAATCTGGTTTGGGAGCCGAACGGGGTTTGATGAGTAGACTCGCTGTTTTTGCTAAATTTGTGTTTAATGCACTTGATTTTAGTGTTGCTCTTTGCTATTGATTTAATAAAAAATGAGGTTTATTGGCAGAAAAACGGAGTGGGATGAACCGAAGTTGGGATCTGTTCCTGGAATTATTATATATGATGACTATTGTGCATGCCTATAGTGTTGAGCTCTTTAATTATAGGTGTTATTTTTAATAATTGTTCCAAATTTAATTCCTTGAATTAAACTAGAAAGTAGGAATTTGGATTGTGCCTTTGTTTTATTACTGTTTGTTGATTTTGTGTGTGCAAACTGGAAAAGAAAAAGAGAGGGGGCAGCAGGGAAGTTTTGCTAGTGATTTTGATGGAGGAAAATTTAATAAGCAGCCTGGGAGAAGTCAGGGGCAGTGAACTGGGGTAAAGCTTTAGCGAAATTGAAATCAAATTTGGTATTCTCTACTAATCTTTGGTTAAGCCACATATGCTTCATAGTTATCTCTAGTTTGGTTTGCAGTAATCTCAGTTTGTAGTAGCTTTCAGTTGTCGTGTCATTTACAGTGTTAAACAATAGTGTTGGTTTGCAATGTTCAAAGAATTTTGTTCCTTTTTTGAGGTTTATTGAAGAAATGTGAAAGTGATCTTTGTTATTTGAAATAGTGATTTAATGAAGGAGCGAGTTAGGTGATTAGTACCTTCGACATGGGTCCAACAAGTGCTCGTTGGGGTGTCACTTATACTTTCATAGTTTACTTGGAATTTTATTCGATTTGAATACTTTTTGGAAAGGTAACGGCATTAAGGTATCTTTGGTTTGGGAGAGTGTTGCATTTCAGCTTTCGTGTACGTAATTCGTTTCCATGTTGTTGTTTTTCAACATAAAACTTTCAGTTGATGCATTGACTTGAAGACAATGATGTCATAGAAATATTTTATGTTGCAATTGGGGGACAGTTTACATGTATTTTGCTCTTCTGATCAGTTTTATTTCCTGCATGGCATGTTTGACTGCCTCTGTTCCATATTTTTAGTTCAGTGAAATGGGTTATTGTATGGGACAGAGGAGATAGGTTTTCTGGTATATTTACAGTAAACAATATACTGAATTTGGTGGTACATAAGCTTTTATGTGTAGAATGTTGGAGGAATTTCACATCTGTAGATGAAATTTTGCCGTGGCTTTCAATGAAGTGAAGTTTGCAGTCAGACACTGGTTCCCTTTTCATGTCAGTTTTGTTTGTGAGGGCTGCCAAATGTGGCACTCCTCTAATAGGTGCAAAACCATTGTCGTTATGTAAACTACTGAGAAACTGGTTTATAATATTTAAAAACATTGTGCTATTAACTAAAATAAAAGTAGCGCAAGTTTACTTTGATTCTCAGCCTATTAAGGTGATCCACTATAAATGTCCGAAATTTTAGAAGGAATACTAAATAGATGAAGGAAAGAAAAGAGAGAAGAACAACAGAAGAGAGAGTAGAGAAGGATAAAATCTGAAGCTTTCCAGGTTGAGCTGAAAGACAGAAAGGGAAAGAAGAAAAGGAAGAAAGAGGGGAGAAGATGGTAAATGAGATTTTCACTTATGGGTTTAAGTTTCTGTTCCTTAGGGCTTTGAGCTGTAATTCATCCTTTTTGCGGAAGCTTATCAATTTAGGGGATTTTGGAAACCTTTTTTAAAAGTTCAACGTTTGGGTTTGAGGGCCTTGGAAGGTTGGGCTTATTCACAATGGGAAGAACAACGAGTGTTGTGTTTGCTCTTTCCTTCTGCTTCTTAGTAGCATAAGGAGAAAAGAAAAAGGAAAAAAAAGAGAAGGATTATGGAAAGGTTTGCTGATTAGTGTTGTGTTTGTTCTCTAAAAGAACAGATATTGTGGAGTTTCCTCTTTCCTTCTGATGTCAAGTGTTGTGTTACATGCTTCCTTCTGTATTGTGTTTGATGACTTACATAGTGCCAGTGGGCACTGGGCACTGGATTTTGTTTTCAGTATTTGATATCTGAAAACCCTGTTTATATACCTTACATTTGTTTGCCGATTCCCTGTAAGAAATACTAGCTTTATGACAGTTTGATTCGTTATTCTGATTTGTATCCAGCTTCTCTTGTAAGCTTAATTGGAGGTCCTTTTTTTCCCCCCTAAATTATGGCTGTAGTACATGATGACTAATGGGAACATGTACCTCAACTTTCGGTCATTGTTAAATTCAGTTAAGTTTCTCACGTCATTTAAATGTCTAAATAGGGTCATTTGGCTTGAATTTTCTTGTAGATTTTGATGTGAAGAGGGTGATCAAGTATGACCCTTCAAGGATATGCCCTGAACTATGGAACAGTTTATATGCCCTACAAGGCATGTCACCCCAAGGCTCATTCTTTAGTATCTTTGAGAAGACCTCTACCTGCCAAAGTTTCATTTCCAATTAATTCAAGTACCCGCTCGCCTTTTCCGAAAGTTGTAGCGCACTATAAAGGTTTGCATCTATCCGTATGTAGTTACAATTCAGCCTGTTTGTTCTCCAAGTATATGGGCATAGTTGCCAGTGTGTTTGTTTCATGTTTCATCGATGCACAATGAGTATCAATGGTGAGACAATTTTATGTGTTGAGCTGAATGTATCATCTTTGGTGTCATATTTTTCTGCTCTTTACAAATGGAGTAAGTAGTTGCAACCATTTTCTGGATTCTTGCCTAGTATTTGCATTTACAGACCTGGACGTCACCCCCGCAATCAGTTGGTCATTTTGACGTGACTAGTTGGTCTCGTTTCTTTGGAGTGAAAACTATTTTGCGTTCTGTATGAAATGCATTGTGTGATTATCTTTCTTCTCTCTTGTAATGGATGTAAAACTTGACTAGATTAGGTGAATTCCGAAAATTGCATTAGGCAAATAATGGAACCTCCTATAAACAATTTGATACATGTGCATCTTGGACTTGTCCAACCCTCTAATTGACCAGTGACAATGGGAATTTCCCGTTCCCAAATAACTGAAATATCTGCTTGCAAATTGTGTTTTATGCCCTGTTATTCACTGGGTGGTAAAACTAAAACATGTTCACAATTTGGTATAATCGTCAACTGCAAGTTTTTCTTTAACTTACTCCAATATGGATAGATTAGTTGGAATATACAATTTATTGATGCAGTTATCAAATGTTAGCTTCTCATCGTGTTTTGGCTCTTCTTTGAGGACATTATAATTTTTTATGGGCAGGTTCTCAGAGTCCCTCTCTTTCTTCTGCTTCCTCACCACTTCTAAGTGGTGGACTTGGTAGTCTGTCTCATACTATACCTAAGATAACTAGGAGGCGACAGTCTAATCTGACTCCACGGGCATCTAAAGATGTTCCTTACAGCTACCGATACCCTCCTATGACCAAAAAGCCTAAATGGTGGTGGAGAACATTAGCATGCCTCCCCTATCTGATGCCACTGCACGAAACATGGATGTATGCGGAGACAGCTTATCATCTACACCCCTTCCTGGAGGATCTTGAGTTTTTGACCTATCCATTTTTGGGAGCTATAGGAAGATTGCCAAGTTGGTTTCTGATGGCCTATTTCTTTGTAGCATATCTAGGAATTGTGAGGAGGAAAGAATGGCCCCATTTCTTCCGGTTCCATGTGGTGATGGGCATGCTTATGGAGATAGCTCTACAGGTGGTTGGTAGTGTGAGCCGTTGGATGCCTCTTTCTGTGTACTGGGGTAAGATGGGAATGCACTTTTGGACCGCAGTTGCATTCGCCTATCTCTTCACTGTATTGGAGTGCATGAGGTGTGCCCTTGCCGGGATGTATGCCGATGTTCCATTTGTCTGTGATGCGGCTTACATTCAAATTCCATATGATTAAGGAAGCTTATGTTTTTGGCCTTTGTATTTTGTCCTTCATTCTGGTAGGATTTAGGCTGAGGCTCGGAGCTTGTCTATTTATGTATGACTAAGGAGGAAGGAACGTTGGTCGTTGATAGTGTCAATGTTGCATGCAATAGAAACATTAATGATGTGGATTTTGGCTCTCTTTGATGAACTGTTTAGTTGTGTCAATCATTCCTCCGTCCCGAAATGATTATTTATTTTAAATGTACCAAACAAGACATTCATTTTGGCCGGAGAGGGAGTAATATATTCGTCCATTGTCCAAATCCCATAACGCGTTGAAGAATTGAATTAATAACAGGAGTGACTAGTGATGACTTGAATAACTGACCTGGCAAGTTAACAATCCATTTTTCTTCCACCATATCGTCGTGCGATCTACTTTCTCTATTAGTACAAAATTTCTTCAGGTATCTCTTCCTGTTTTGGTTCATCGAGGTCTAGTGTTGCGGTCAATATAGTTTACTTTGCACCCAGCTCTCTTTGTTAACTCTGTCTTAAATTCTTAATCTTATGAATTTGTTCGTGTGGCTTTTGATGCATGCTCATCAACATTGCTGTTTCCTTGATTAGATTTTTGTAAGTATTTATCTGGGATTCTTCGATGATCAGACAGGGAGAGGGATATTTTGAGATGGCTCATGCTGCAGTCTTACATCCAAACAACCTGTTGACCCACGAATTTTTTACCTTTGCTCATCGGAATTCTTGATGTATAAACGAAAAAGGATACACGCGCGTTTCCTTGCCAATGGAAATTTTTGTTCAGAGTACTTGGGATTATTGGAAGAAGTCGAAAATGTTAATTCCACCTGATGAATGCCACAAAGCCAGGAGGTTTTTCCTTGATAGGTACTACCAATTGCGGAACAAGTAGTGACTTGTTTTGTATTTGCACCGCAAGATGTAGAAGAAACCTGCAGGACTAAGGTTAACAGCCGAGAGTCAACTTCATAATATCATTTTTGCACCACAAGATGTAGCCTTTATTTGCTTTTCATTTGTAGTACTTTCTCTGTCATGAAATTATTATCCACTTTGGATTTTTAATTTTAGTTTAAATTGTACTAAAATGAAACTCTAAACTGAAAAACAATTCTGAGATAGAGGAAATATATTTATTTTTTCTCCAATCCAACAAAAGAACTAAAACTTTCTGAAATTTGAGATTAATGGAAGTTACAAGTCAGATATTTGTGAATTGAACTAAACTAAATATTCGGTAGGTTAACTCAATGTCCTAGGTTTTCTTTGTCTGATTATTTGAATTAATATTATTTGCTTTTATTTTATTTATTTATTTTAGTTTTAAATTTTATAAACCTAAGATCATCATTTATCTAGATAATAATAGGAGTAATTTACACATGGTAATTAATATTCATTCTCTGTGGGATCGACCCTGCTTGTAACTTTATTACTAGTAATTGTATTAAGTAGGTAATTATTATTTGACTAGTGTGACGATAGTTTGTCAAATTTGGTTCACCCAACAGCCATCACAAAATTCTTTCTTTTCAACATAAGTATCTGCCCGAAAATTCTCCGTTTTCAATTAATTTGTTTCTTGGAAGAAAATTCTAATTTCTGATTTGAATGCGAGACTGAAAAAAGGGACAGCTAGAATTGTCATTTCTCTTTCGCAAAATACTCTTGGGGAGCTGGTAAATTCAATCCTGTTCTGTTTGTCTTTCTTGTAGGCCTTAATTACCGATTACTGATTCATTATTGATCACTGAATCTTTTATATTTGGAGATGTTGCTAGTATCTGGATGGATAGTGAGATCACTGAATTTTCAGGATTAAATTAGTGCAAGTTTCAGGGATGACTAAACTATCCATCTTTTTAATTAAGTTGTTCCATTTAACGCGACGAATTAGCGTTAAAAATTCTATCTTTCAAAATGACAACATGAAAATGAAATAAAATTTTGAAATCAGATATTTTAAAGGGAAATGTAAGATGGGAAATGAAAAATAGACATTAAAAACAACAGTAAATTATTGCAAAGGGTGCGGGTTTACTCATTTCGGGTTTGGTTTCCAGCGTTAACAAAAAAAAAAAAAAGGAAAAAGAAAAAGAAACTATTGAAACAAACTTTCAAAATTAAGCATATTACCGTACGAATTCTGACCTTTTATATGAATTAGATAAACAAAAAAATTATAGACCAGCAGCTACATTTTGGCCTTGAAAAAAGGAAGTCATACGATGAACTTTTCTAATGAAATTGTGTTTGAAAAAGAAATTGAAGGTGTTCCATAAAGGAGTATTTTAATCAGATCAATTAAGCTTTAACACACATTTGGTTTAATCATACTTATCAGTTTGCTCATGACTACCAAAATGCCATATATTAAGTTAATTTGAATTTCAAAAACAATATGGTTACCGGATTATCCAATGAATTAAAGGGTTGAAGTAATCTAGTAGAAATCCTTAAATAGTAATTTAACTGATTAACGGTTTAACTATTTTTTTAACTGATTAATGACCAACCAATTAAAAAAGAACACTTGTTAGTTAAATCAATTGATCAGCTCTTTGGTGACACCTGTCAATTCATCTTCTTTCCCGCACTTTGTGCGGGTTATCAAAAAATAACATCAATGACTTAAGTTGTATTGCATAATTTTTAATATCAACGTGTTTTGTTATTTTAAGTACATAAGAATAATTTTTAATGTAACTTATTGTTCATCTTTTTTCCGTTTTGCTGATCTATGGTTTTATATCTTTAAAAGTATTTTCTTAATTTTTCATCATGATCTCTCTAAATATTTTTACCCGTCATATCTTTTAAACTCTTCCGCTAACAAATTTTTGTTTCATCTCTCTATATACATTATGCAACCTTTCTTTAGAAGTTTGTTCGTTTATTTTTCCTATAATATAGTGTTTACTTCATTTTTTTTTTTGGAAAGGAAAACCTTACTTCATTTTTTTCCTGCTTGCTTAATCTTTTCTTTTTCCCCTTAATTTGATGACTTCTCTTTAACGCTTCATTCTTGAATTTTTTTTAAATGTTTCATTTTCAATGTTATCTCAATTTTTTTTTCATATTTTTGTATTCTCTAATAATTGTTTTCTCCATGTAATTATTTTTCCATTTCTCAAAACCAATAGGCATTACTATTTTTTAATATTATTTTTTCAATTTTTCTAAAAGTATATTTCTATTTAAATAATTTATACTCGAAGCACCACTAACTAAAATAAAAACCAACACATTAACTAATAAAAAAGAAAAAAAAAACGAATGAGTTAATACAATTAGCCGATTTGTTTTTCTATATTAAAGTGTCAGTTGGTTTTTAGGCAGAGCAATACCAATGCTGTGTTGGCAATCTTACATATATATAAAAAGAATTTTTCGCCCAAGACACATGTCGCTTCATTAGGATATCTATTGGTTTGACAGTAAAATTTTAAAGTAAAATACTTAATGTTATAACTTTATTCTTTATAACAATTCATTTTCATCTTTTACCTCGGATAAATATCATGTTAAATCTTTGTCCAAAAAACTGACAGATTAGCCTAATCGGAAATGCTAATTCCACCGGCCAGCATTGTATTCATTAGTGTCTTCAAACCATAATCTATGTTTCTGCCGGCGTTTAATCTCTTACGTCGTAAGTATCTTTGAACTATATTTACGCCGACGCCTCCTGTCTTCGGAGACAAATTTAATCCGACCTTCTTCCTTTTCCGACGGCCAATTTGCATCAATTTGGAAGATTGTTCTCGATGGAATTGAGATTTAATTCGTCAATCTTCCTTCTACGACGGCCAATTTGCATAAATCGGGAGATTGTTCTCGATGGAACTGAGATTTAATCTAGCCATCTTTCTTTTCCAACGGCCAATTTGCAGCAATCAGGAAGATTGTTCTCGATGGAATTGGATTCTTCTTTCGTATATACAAATAACCCCTATAAGAAAAATGACGGTGTTGATTACCTGATTTCCATAAATTCCGCCGGTGTTTTTATGATAACTTCCATTGAAATGATTGTGGGATGAAGGGAGTATTACTTAAATTTCAAAAAATCCCCACAATTAACTTTCAAAAATATACATTCCCAATCTTATTCCGTAACCGAAGGTAATTATCACCCCCAAAAATAATTCCCGATTATTTTAATTCACTTAACCCAGTTATTCTGCTAATTCCGCATTACTAATAACCCTTCTTTTGATTCCGAATTACTAATTACCCTTGCCACTCCCGTTCATGTAAGATATGCACTCTCCCCGAAAGAAATTTGTTCAAATCGCATTGACACCAATTTTAGTAATAATTATAATCCTTTGGCTAATTAATAAAATATAATGAAGCCGTTGATTGTGGGTTTGTTCATTTTTTTTCTCCCCATTCCATTAGATTTTGTACTTTTTTTGGTCCACCTTACACCCTTTCAATGGTTCAAACTAGAATATTGTACTCTCTCTGTCTTAAAATTATTGTCCACTTTGAAGTTTCATTTTTAGCGTAATTTGAACGAGAAATAAAAACCCAAACTTGGCAATAATTATGGGCCATAAAGAGTAGTTTTTTTAGAAGGTACGCTAGAATAGTAGTAAGGTTAACAAAAAGTGAATAGATTGGCCTTTTTCGTACGGAAAAATTATTGAGGGGATAGTATTTCAATGAAAAGATAATAAAAATAAAAAATTAAACGTGATTTTTTTTTATACTCTATCAATATCTTAAAGTATATGATTAAAAGGGGCACAATATTTTTAATATCTCAAGGATTTTTTAGTCAGCCATGGTTTTTTTTTCCCTTTTTTAAAGCACACAGCCATTGTTAGTGCCCCAGTTTTACGACTTTTGGGTTATACTTTAAAGTAATTAGATCAGGTTATTAATTCAAAACATCAATTTTCTTGAGAAATTATCCTCACATGTCTCACACATTTAATGATTGGATAAATTTCATTAAACAGACGGTAGAAAATGAATACATTTCGGTAAGTCATCCACTCAAATTTGAAGCTTCCCCTTATCACATCGGCGGCTTCACAAACTAAACCCTAATAAGGAAATGAATTGGCACATTATAAAACTCACGCAATCACACACACACATACACATGCGTACAATCGCCCATCAATCATTTTGTCTTCATAATTTTCTTAATTTATGACTCTATGCGTGTCAATTGAACAGTAAACATGGTTGGGGATGCATAATCAACGTGAAGCTTCTTGGAATAATCATGACCCAGTCGATCGTACGTTTCTTAAGGATGACATAGAATATTGTACAGGGCGGGCCAAATTCAAATCCATGATTCGAGCAACAGAAAATTAAACTCGGCCCCAGTCTTTGTGCACAAGGTAATTGTATCATCTTTCCATCTAAATTCGAACTCATATCATTTTGCATCGTATCTTTCAATATTATGAAACTAATTAACCATTGCGGTTTTTTTTTCTCTCTCACGAATCTGCTGCTATGGGGATTAGGGATTGAGGAGAAGAGTGTCATTGAGACTTCTGATTGCATGAACCTTTTCTATTGGAACCCCGCCAATGACATCGCAGTGATCGAGGTACAATCATAGAATTTGATTCTTAGTCACCGTGGACGATGGAGTCATTTTGGCTTGCTTCACTTTTCGAATGTCCAACTAGTGGCATTTTCAGTTTTTTTTCCCATATTTTAATAATAGGTTTAAATTATTATCGTGAGACCAGTTGAAAACAAAATATCTCAATGCGAATTCAACTAATACTAAAACCTTTCTTTCTTTATTTTGGTCCTCTGCTGAATTTCTTTTGATTACTAATTATATGTATTTTACTTATTGCTCCATTTTTAAGTGTCCCATGACTTACGATATGGTTCAAATCATATGGGGGTGTTTGATTGGTCCGTTGAACAGATGGGCTGTTTGGTCGAGTATTCTAGCGATGGTTTTGGAAAGTAATTATGGAAATTGCCCTGCAAGACAATACCGGTTGAATATTCCA